CTCGACCGCAATGAAGGTGCTCTATTCGGTTACGTTTCTCGTCATTTGCCTGACTGCCCACATAGGTGGACACCTGACATTGGAGGAGTTGCCACAGCTAAAGAAACTCTTCTACTATCCCATCCAGTTCTGGAATCACATAGCTGACCATGTGAAAAGGTCTGCTGGGAGGCTAGATTGTTATCAGCAGGTGGCCATACGGGCTCAGAATGTGATCAAAAGATTCAATTCGACGGTGAGGATATGCAACAAGGACTACAAAGTTAGCCAGGACTTGTTCCAGATACTTGACTTGATGAAAAATAAAAAAGAAATTGATGTCTGCAACGATCATATGAAGCATCCCGTCAAGGGCCAAAGTTGTGGCAAAAATGCTTTGATGACCTTTCTCTGCGATTCCCTGATGATCTTCTATGCCTTTGCGGCCTGTTCCAGCGTGTTGGATAGCATTTGATCTGTTAACCGTAGCTTTAACTCGATTTCGAATAGATGGAAGAAGCCGCTGGAAGTTTCTCTTTATTTTTGGAACCACTGTGCGTGCTCTGCGGCTCTCTGGATTGTGGGTGCCTTTGCCTTTCAGCTAAGCTCTTGTGCTGCCTGTTGGCTGTTGGATGTTGGCTGCTGGCGTTGCTTTTTAATAAAATTAGCTCCGACATTGGATGCTTGTTTATGCAGCAGCCACCGCCGACGAACCGAGCGAGCGAGCAAGCAAGCGAGAGTCCCAGTCCCAGTGCCAGTCCCAGTGCCGACCCCAGCGACCCTCATGATGCTGCACACACACGCACACGATGCTGATGTGTGTGTGTGTGTGCGTGTGGGGATGGGTGGTGACTGTACTTGACTGCTTATTATGCATGAATTTCAAATGAAGTCGCGAACGTGACACGAACATGCATGGGAGATGCGGCGCTTTTTTTCTCCGCTTAACTTTCGGTTCTCCTTTTCACTCACACATCCTATCTGTGACTATATCGGTCTCCCTCACGCATACATCGAGCAAAAAAAGAATTTACACATTCGTATTGCGATATGCATTTAATATTAGAGGAGGAAGCTGTGTTCCCAGTTGAATTCTCTCCTCACCGAATGCCCGAAAAAAAAATTGAAAAACACATCAAGCTCATTGAGAGCTAAATGGGAATAGGTTTTAGGGATATATATACAGATATAGCTACTATATACAGGGACGATAGGGAGGATGGTAGATGGAAGATGGCCGAAATGTTATGCGTAATGAAATTGGGCACTTTGGGTGTTGATTTTTTATGGCTCTTAAGTGGCTCTAAGGACAAACTGAATGCTCGTGGAGATGGGCATGGTTCTGGCTCTGTCTCTGACTCTGACTGCTTTGCCTAGGTCAATTGAAATTCTGTTGATCAGACTGACTTCAAAAGCAATTATCATTTAAGGCTCAGAGAGACAGCGACAAGCAGAGAGTAAGCGGCATTCCCCTTAGGTATCAGCTGTGACTAAGACTGTGCCTCATTATCCAAGACAAACTTCGTTGTGTGGCAATTTCTCTAGGCAATTAAACACTTGCCTCCCATCCAGTCCTCGAGCCCTCAGTCAGATGTCAGATGTTGATAATGCACTCTCAAAAGGAGCCTTTTCAGCAATTTTCCTGACTTAATGATATGCAAATACATACAAACAATGACAGCAACGACAGCAACAACGAGTCTACGAGTCCTGTGTTAATTGTCTTCCCCTTCGCTGTCGCTGTTAACATTTAATTAAACGCCTTTTTGCCGTCAAAAGTGCGAGCGCGACATAATTACAAGCCAGTTGGACATTTTTCCTAAACGAATTTCTCTTCACGAGAATTCTTATAAAGTCCCTACGCCAATAGAAACAACCACTTCCACCACTGATGCCTTGCTCTGCGTGCATTATTGTTTAATTGCAATTAGCGCCAAGAAGGCGGCAGGTGGTATGATCCGAAAGAAGTCTCCAAAATGATAATAACGAGCCATATGTCGGTTCATGCATAATGCAAAGGCCGAGCCTTGCCTCACACATTGCAATTAAGTTGCAAAAAGCATGAATACACTGACGAAAATCGCCTGGTTGTTGGTTAAAAGATCAACAAGCTAAAGGTTGGGAAATAACGTGGAACCTTGCCGGACAATGGTTAGAGTTAAAGCCTATTTTTTCAAAGTGTAGCCTCCCATTGTGACGGATATTGTTGTTGTTGTTTGCTGTCGAACAACGTGTTGAAAATATCTCTTTGGCTGCCAAGACGAGCCTTGAAGTGTGTGCTGCCACTTGAGTACTTCTACTTCTTGCCTCTTGCCATGCTCGCCACTTCTCCTTCATCTTCTTTCCTTTCTCTTGTTCACTTCTGGCCAAGAGAGTGCCCTCCCTGAGTTGCTGAGCTGAGAGTGTGTTAGATTATTTTTATGTGTGTTGTGTGTTGTGTTTTCCTTGTGCCTTATATTTTCGCATGCTTAAGTAGTTAGTTTAATAAATTGCAGTGCTTAGGACAGGAGTTAATGGAAAGAGGGCACTTCCCGCGAGAATTTCTGCCATTTGAATTCCTAAAGATTTGCAGTAAGTCTTCCCTGGTAGAAGTTGATATTTTGCTGTGCTGATTTGCGTGTTAGTTTTCAGTTTGCCCTGCAGCCACATTAGCCCTACTTCTAGTACAGCTAACACTGAATTGCAAAAATAAAAATTACGTATACGTAATGGTGGGTGGGAGTAGCAAAGAGCACACAATGCATCACAATGGTAATTAACAATTTACCACAGAGCGAGAGACAGAGAGAGAGAGAGGGATGGGAGAGCGAAATGCCGTGCAATGAATCAGCCAGCCAGCCCTTTGGCTGCGCCCCCATTTGCAGCCCAAGGTTAAAGCACTCATACATTTTTGAACACCAGCTGAGAGCATAGAGCATTTGCAGTGCTACAGTGCACTGCTCGCTGCGCGGTGTTCGGGTGCTCAACAAAAAATAAAAAACCACTCAGCATGAAAAGGTGCAAAATGGGGGAGAATCTCAGTCCAAATTGTAACAGTACAAAAGGAAAAAGCCCTTAACTAAAAGAGAAGTTAAATAGTTTTAAATCATGCAAACGACAGCCCCAGAGAAATGTGGTAGCAAAGGAGGGTAGAGCAGGGGGGTTTGGTATGTGTGCCTGGGTAGCGGCTAGAGAAATCAAATGTCAACTTAGTGCAAGGACAACTGCAGCTGAAGCAGGAGAAGTTGCTACCTGACGCTCAAGGCCAAATTGATCAGGCCAGCAGCAGCAGCAGCGGCAATAGAAGAGAAACTGGGTCACCACACCACACAAATAAATTGCCACTAACCCACCCACACACACACACACACGCTACACACACACGTGTATCTATAGCTACAGCTAAAGTTACATGTGTGGGAGGGAGTGCAATCAATTCTGGACCTACCTCCGACAGCCTACAAACGATGAAATGTGATGTATGGCTGTTACTCCACATATCTCTCATTCAATTAAATTGAAGCTTGGCTTTAATTTCTTTGCAATTTTCCGGATAAATAATGCTTCCAAAAGGTACGGAAAGCCATTACTCCCTCCCAGAACCGAGAGAGAGACAGAGAGTATTTGATGTGGCGTGAAATGTGAATGGATTCCAGGGGAAAATACCTTTGATTTATGAAGTTGGCTAACCCACTTTGTGGCTTATTAGTGTCACTTATCACCAGAAAACTGAGAACAAAGGACAACCCATGCCACACCCTGCACCCCACTGACCTGCAATGGGCTTTGCATATTAATGCTCATGTAATAAACACAATCGTTGTTCACCTTGACAGCATGTGGGCTCGGTCAGTTCGTCAGTGGTTGGTCGGTTCCAAGTGGTTGCCCAGCCATGCCAAATTCATGGCCTGCTTCTGGACCGCTCCTCCTGTGTCCCGGTTGCATAATTTAAACGCAATTCCAACATGAATTCGATTGCCTGCGACATGTGAAGGGAAATCTGAGAAGCAGTGCCAAGCCACTGAGAGAAGCCCCAAATGCATTTATGAATGAGTTGACACACAGTTTGGCTCGAGTTTTGTGCCAGCACAGGCCTGTCAATATTTGTCCCCAGGTCCAGCTGCTCACACCTTTTGTTGCTGTCAGGCATCGCCTAATGGCCTGCAAATAGTTTTCACAATTGAGTTGTCAATTTTGCAGCGTGTGCCGGATAGACGGGACTGGGACTAGCTACAGGGGAGCTGGGCCCTGGGTAGCCCAGAGAGCTAGGGACTATCGCTGTCTCATGGTCGTAAATTTCTCAACTTTTTTTGTTCTCATCTCAAATATTTGTCATCGCCCAGTTTACGGTTTGCTTTAACACAATGTGTACACCACCCACACCCTGCCAGCGAATGCCAGGAGACCTGCTACTCAGCTCTGCTCGGTTCTCTTCCCCAAAAACGAGCACTGACACACGGCGGCACTTAATGGCATTTTATGACTGCCACCTAGGCCAGGTTGGAGATGCGAGATGTGAGCTCCTGGCACCGTGTGGGCTGGCCAAATTGAGTGGGTTGGCAGAGCAATTTGCAGGAGTGTACTCCCTCGGCTTGTGAGCGAATAACGCTGCTGTCGTGAGTGTGCTTAGAGATGAGAAATGAATCATTTGTGCAATCGAAACCGATGGACAAGTGGACAATTATCGATAGCGCAAGTATGAATATAAATTATTATCAACAGCATTTCTGCTGTACCCACCCTACAACCCTCGAATACCAATTAGGCACAGTGCTGGGCCAGAGCTCTGGGCAGAAAAAGTTCATTTCATTTTGTGTGTGCAGAAATGATTTCGACCAATTAACTGGCCGCCCCAAAAACTCATCACGCTGCAAAGTACAAGCCATTTTTTTAATGGCTTTCTCCCTCGTAATGAGTTCGACCGAAGCTGCCAATAAGTGAAGGGTCCAGTTATTAGTTTAATTTGGCAGAAAGTGCCATAAATCACTGCCGAATATAATTCGCAACTTAATTTTTCTTCGCTTCTCCCACTCCTTTTGCAGAAAGCTGTCAGGGACCACATGAGAAGCGTCTGCTCAACCACCTGCTCTCCACCTACAACACGCTGGAGCGACCCGTCGCCAATGAGTCGGAACCACTGGAGGTGAAGTTCGGACTGACGCTGCAGCAGATCATCGATGTGGTAAGTGTTCGCTTCCCTCAGAAGCCTCAGACCCTCACTAACATTTTCGAAAGCATCAATTGGCCCAATCAATTGTCAATTGCCAATGAAAAATAACCCAGTATAACCGAGAATAATCGAAGAAGGGGATCTGATAATCGAGTCTGATCGAATTGAATTGATGAATTGTGATTGCGATTGTGAGATTAAGAAGCACTAACAATTATTGATTGCGTCTCTTATAGGATGAAAAGAATCAGATTCTGACCACAAATGCGTGGTTAAATTTGGTAAGTGACATGTACCCGTCGTTTGTGTGTCTCATCATCACAGCTTTCTTGCTTCTTTACTTCTTTGGGAATTTTTTAGTTCGATTTTCTGTTTCGGTTTCCTTTGGGCTTCAGTTTTTGTCCCGTTTTCCCGCCATTCCATTTTTCGTTTTCCGTTTTATGGGCAAGCAAAGAGCGACGCAATTTTTCAGTATTCTCCACCAAACCAAAACCACAAAACCACAAACAATTTTTTGGTTCGATTCGTTATTTCTCAGTTTGTATTTGGCATTCAATAATTATTGCCCCTCAGGGGGTTTCTTTATCAATAAATACGTACATATTTGCATATGTATATGTGTTGTCTCGATATGTCTCTGTTTCTGTTTCTGTTTCTGTGTGTGTGAGTGTATGCGTGTGTGTATGCGTGAGTGTTCGAACAATGCTTATTTGCTGCATTTGTTTGTTCTTTTCGCATTTCATTTCACTTTGTTTATTTTTTATGTGGCGTCTGTCTGCCGGATATCGCTTAAATATTTCAATTAAAAGCAATGTCCACTAAAACACACAAACAAACAACAAATTAAAACCAATTAAAAATAATTAAGTTTGATGAATGCAAAAAATCAGAGAGTGGGTATATGCTTAGCCACAAATTGCAGGTCGTGATTTCAGATTTCAGTCGCATCCGATGTGGGCTCCTTGGCTCGTCCTTTTCCTTGGGCTATCTCCCACTTTTGATTTACACAAATTTCATTTGGGCTGGACTTTCACCCTGGCTCTACCCTGGCATTGCTAAATTGGCAGAAATTGCCAGGCCATGCCATAAACATAAACAAATAAATCAAGGCAAAGGACCCCAAAGGACATAAATAATATTTATATTTGTAGAGCGACAGCCATTTTTTTCAACGCTCTCTCACCTGGCGCTCGCCCTGTCTCGCTGGTCACTCTCTGGCCATGAATGGTGACCCCTGAACCCGGGAGAACCCTTTTCAAAAAATTAATAGCCTCTCCATTCATCCTACACCAAAGCGTTTGCCTCCAAATTCAATGATTTATGTTTGGCCGTCAATTTTCAATTCTTCCCAGCAAAAAAATAACATTTTTTGCGTTTTGTTTTTTGTTTGTTTATTGTGTGTCATTGTGTAAACTACACCAAAAACTCAACTAATTGTCGTTTTAATGGGAAAAAAACCAGCCAACCAACTAACAAACAACAACAAATTGTAACATAGAAACATTTTTAATTGTTTGCATTAAATGGAAAACTGTCTGTTTGAGCCGCAAACGTGTTTAGCCGTTTTTATTTCCCATATTTATGTGTATCTATTGTTTTGTTGTGGTTGTATTTGTGTGACTTACATGGACATCTACATTCCGCATCCGATTTTAGTGATTTTCCCATTTTATTGTAATTGTTTTTTAATTTGTATCCCTGGAGTGTGCGCCAATGCAAAACATTTTATTAATATTTCCCCGGAAATATGCGGCCTACCGTGTGAATAAATGTGCTTAGGCGGCGGGGAAATTATTTCTGAAATGGAATGTCCGATGGTCACAGCGGCTGGAAAAGGCCCTTGTAATCCCTTTTATTACACGTATGGGGAGTGCAATTACTGCGTTTTTCATAAATCTGCGTCTGTTGTAAAAACATGATGTCACACATGGTTTCATTGATGTGGCCACGTTATCATCTTATTTCATCGCCATGTCACTCCTTAAAGTTGGAGAAGGAGAAGCAGCGTTGCACACAAATTAGTTTGCCCTCATTAAGTGCATTAATCAATTGACAATATGATTTACATGGCTATTATGCTTAGATTACGAGCCACGCAACAACCCAACGTTCATTCCATTTCAACCAACTTTCGATTTTGATTTCGATTTTCATTTAAATTTGCATTTCTTTGTGTACGTATGTATGCCCGTGTGTATGTATGTGATGTGTGTGTGCAATGCGGATTATGTTTGATATACATATATTTATATTTATATATATTTGCTGGGTACATGTCATAAAGCGTTCTCTGATTATACATATAGTATGTGCAATACATGTCTGAGTAAAATGCAAAAATGCAACAATTAAACGCAACAAAAACCAAACAGAAAACACAAGAGAAAAACAAGGAACAACTAAAGTCGCGTCTTGCATGTTGTTTAAACAAAAGTGCATTTAAATTTAACAAACAAAAAAAGAGCGTGACAGCTAAACCAATTTCAAATCTGTGTTTTCTTTGTATCTACATATGCTATAGCTATAAGTACATATAAACAAATTATATATTGCCATATAAATGTATTTGCAAAACACAACTAACAATCTAAACAGCAAACAACCTTTTAAAAAACCAAAAGAAATCCCATAACTATAATAATGGCGATGAGGCTATGGCTTTAATGTGCTGCAACTATCCCTCATACCCTGACTCTCTCGCTTGCTCACGAATACATAATACAATTAAAGGGGGGACATCTATGGATTGGATTGGAGTAGATTGGATTCCCCAATCAAATGCATTTTAATTTACACAATTAAATATGTATGAAATAATTTGATTTATGCACTCGGCCGCCATCGGACTGATAGGGAGGGAGGTAGGGGAGGTGGAACCAGCAGCGCGCGTTGATTTCCAGTGGCATAAATTATAAATCGACCACGAGTGAAGAGATTTATGATGCCCATAGCCATGACATTTCCATCGGCGCTTCGGTCACACTTTTGTCAATTACTCAAATTGCCCCTCGCCTCAACTATGTAATGAATGTCCGCCGGGAGGGAGCATCACTGAAGCGCTGACAATTGCCAAAGTTTTGCAATTGCTGAAGCCTTTTCACTAGTCAAGTTTCTGGACGACCACGTGCTTGTGGCTCACCAAAGGTTACTCCTGCTACTGCTCCACGATTGCCACCAAGCTGGCACTGGCGATGATGATGATGATGGTGATGGTGATGGGGCATGTCAGGCAGCTGCAACCGAATGCCTGACTCCTTTGGCACGACATTAAAATGCACATTGTGGTTGGGGTACGCCATCAGCATCAGTAGCAAAGTAAAGAAAAATAAAGTCATTAGCATTTTTCGGCTAACACCAAAGCACCGACGATGCCTAACCTTCTCCATCTAATGACTTGCCAGGTTGGCTGCACCACAAAATCTCTCTCCCCCCTAAATGACTTTGGCCATGGAAATATGTGTCAAAAGGAAATGGCCAAAGGTTCTGGCCCCAAAATGTTACAAAAAAAGTGGCTGAGAATGTGAGAAAGTGTCGAGTGGGAGGGAAGGAGTCGTTGGTGTGAGCCGAACAAGCTTTGATGGTGTTTAATCTGTTGTTTTGGGGTGTGGCAAAAGTCAAAAGTTCGGAGGGCAGAAATCCAATGCAGATTACTCGGCCATCTCTGGGGGCACAATGTGTGTGGGAAACAAAGGCTATAAAAGAACTTGCAGATAGATGGAATCATTAAGATTGCAATTCGATACGATGAAGGAACCTTAAAATCGTAGCATACTCTTCGCTTCGGCATATACCTGTGACATGTGTAAGCCTTACTTCAATATAATTTAAGGATTTTCCTTCACTTCACTTTTTATAGCCTACTTATGGGAGCACCCCAAGAAGGAAAGTCAGCGCAGGAAAAATCTTCAAACGTATTAGCAATATCCATCGATACGATGTAAGCAGCACCTAAAAGCCATTATAAACAATCTGCCACCAAAATGATTACCCTTCCAGTGTACGGCAAAGTCATTTGGCAAAACGTTAAGCTCACTTATCACCCACTCATTTGTCTCGAGCCTCGACCTAGCCCGACCCTACACGACCCGACACACTGCGAGAGGCCAAGGCCAACAAACTTTGTCCTTGAACAAGTTGGTGTTTGGTCTACTCTGCAGCATTACTCCTGCTCTCGGGGTCTGGCACTGGGATCTCTCTTCTGCTCTCATGTGCATAACCCATTTGTTAGGCAAACAACAGCTACGAAGTTTGCCAAAAACATTCATTCATCACACTGAGGAGTGCGATGACGACACTGGACGGGAAGATGGAATCTTGAATCTGAATGGAAGTGCCTCAAATCCGGATTCTGGATTGTTGTTACTGCCAGACGACAACGGCAATTGTTGGCTCATTAGAAACTCATTTAAAAACAATTTGGCACGTTAATGCAAAATAAATCTATAAGCTTATGGCACAGCCAATGACAGGAGAGGAGACGGGACTCCTGTACTTGGTACTGGGATACTGTTCCTTTGTGTATCTTGTAAATGTATCTGTATCTGAGCAGACGTGTGTATGCGCAGCATGAACAAACTTTGCCACGATTAAGCGAACGCTTAATGCAGATGTGGAGTCTGTTGCAAATGATGCTTTAAAGTTCCCCAAAGCGCCACCCAAAATGTCATTAGTATGCGTCAATGTCAGGGGATTCCTACGAGGCGTCGCATCCGGTGGAGAATTAAGGGGAAACACCCTGGCAGACGTCATGTCATAAACATGAAATTTGCACAAAACCGCCATTTTTATAAGGTGTCAACAGCAAATATCGCACACAGACAGCCAGCCCCGACAGAAATACGGATACGGAGACGGAGACACGGAGAGACTTTCCATATAAAAACACTCAGAGATGTTGTGTTATGGCATTTGACGTGGAGAGGAAGTCCCTGCATATTGGCTTAACCGAAATACTCCGAAGCTTACTGGGTCACTGTGCTCCTGCTCTGCCCAGTTTGGGAGTAGGAACTCCACTGCTCGGCCCTGCATATCATTACAGGTCCGACCCTACTGCCTACTGAATCTTTTTAATGGCTGAAGTCGTTACTGCAGCTGCTGCCTAAAAACCCCAGACTAGGGCTTCTCTCTCTCTCTCACCCTCTGCATTTTTTCGGTCATTTTTGTGGGTTTTGTAACCATTTTTGTTGGCAAGTTATTAATGACAGTCACCTCCAATAAAGAGAGGGAGAGAGGAAAGGCTTTCACATGCAGATCTGCTGTCCTTCATCTGCATTTCAAACGGAATTTGCTGGAATCACCTTGAACTATTCTCTGTCGTGTTAAATTCCTATCATGCAGATGACTGGGTGTGGGACTGGGCGCCGGCGGTGTTTCGGTAGTTGAGTGACTGACAATGTGCCAGCATGAAATATCTTTAATTACAATTTTGTATAAAGATAAATGGGTTTTGATACCTAGTTCAAAGTTTTTATTGCAGAGGAATAGAAGGGAGAGAGAGACTCAGAGACTGTGAGATAAGAATGTAAAGCATATTGGCACAATGAACAGACAAAGCCTGTGACGGCCGAGCAACCAGCAGATTGAAATAGTGGGGAGAGGGACAAGGGACTGATGGACTGGACTGATTCGGTTTGAGATTGAGATTCGGTTTGAATTCAAGGCTGCTGCTGCTGCTTCTGGCAAACAAAGTTTTTGATGGCATTCCATTTCGGATTTTCTCCGTTTCGGCTGCTGCCAATTGAGTGATGATGGCAGATGAGACGAGAAGAGTTAATTGGATCAGTAAGCCCAGACAGAAAACTATCAAGCCTAAAGGCGAACGAAAACAAACACCACACCTGGCCATAGATAGATGGCTTATTGGATATGGAGATTTAAAGCACATTAAAGCCATAACCCAATCGGATGCAGGTCCAGCGGCGACTTCTTTAAACTAAAGCTGAAAATTTGAATATACATAAACGATGCTATAAATATATTAACCACCAAAAAAAAACCAAAAAAATCTCTTGTAAAACTCATAAAACAAATGTATAAACAAAAACTTTCTTTTACCATGCTCTGCTCTTTTTAAACTTTTCACTTGTATGATTTCGTTACTCTTTTGACTTAACATTTTGATTTCGTTGAACCTCTTGATTTGTCTGCGTTCTGTTCTTTTTTGGCGTATACAACAAATACAAACCAAAATTTGTAGGACGAGAAAAATCAACTTCTCATAACGAATCTTTGGCTTTCGTTGGTAAGTCTCAACTAAAACTCGCCGGATCATAAATAGCCATAAACTTGAAACCCAAACCCGAATCCCAATACCAAACCTAAACCCCACTTAAAATCCTACTAAATAGCTTAAAAAGTATCTTAAATAATGTGTAAATGCTTTAAATACATATCTAATCATGAATCAAACTGGGACGGATGCTTCCTGGGTAGGTTCCTCTGCTGATATTCCATCAAGTAGCTAAATGGCAGTTGGACTTGATCCAGGAAGTGTCTGGCCGATCATAGTTTAAGCACACACACGATCTGAACCCCCGAAGTAACCCCAAAGAGTTGATCGAGTATTTTCAAAACTCTATCTTTCCATCTATCTCTTCAAAAACTTCTATTGTAAGATACTCTTCAGTCTATCTATTCCTATACTGCTCCTGCTCCTGTTTCTCGATGAGATTTTTGTTGGCTTTACTCGTGTGTGTCTTAGATTATTTAAAAATCATCATTTAAATAAGTACAACTAAATACGAGCTTAAATATTTGACTAAACATTGCTTAATCACAAGACATACTCCTCCCACTCACACTCGACACACACAGCAGCTAAATAAACTTTGATTTCGGCTATTTCCTTTTTATTCTTCTTGAATTTATAACTTTTCTACATAGAGATCTACAATCACAACTATGTATGGTGTTTTCCAGCGCGGAAACTCATTTGAATATTTTTGATTTAGAGCTCGATTCGAGTTAGTTTCAGTTTCCTTTCTACTAAGAGCAACTAAAAACCCAACACGTAAACCGAACCAAACCGAAACAAAACAACTCTAAACAGAAGCCCCAGCCACAGAGAACACACACATTAACACTGAGTGCTGCATGCCCAAGAGATCGCATCGTGTAGAGTGCCTCAATCGATGTTCGTTTCGTTTTGTTCGTACTGCATGCCCCTTAATGTATTGGAAGTATGTTTGCCCCTGTGTATGAGCGCTTATCTTTTGGTCTGAGAGAAAAACAGTGATATATGCATGGACACGGACACGGACATCACCGAAAGGACAGCGGAAGTGCAGCGGGGAATTTGTACCCCATTTTTTTTGCAGGAGTTTACTTATTTCCGGTCAGCCTCGGCCTCGGTCCATGTTAGCCTCGTCAAGCCCTGTCAATTTGCAAAATTAATTAAATTATTTATTTAACACGTAGATTGTATATTACATCCCCCATCCCCAATACCCATCCCCATCCATTTTATAATGTAAGAGATTGGGGTCTCAGCTGGGTCTATAAATTTTAGTAATTTCGCGATTGCAATCGAACAAAAAACATTCACATCACCGCACCAAATGTTGCGTCCGAGCTGTTGCAATTGCCAATATTTATGATTGATCGATTGGCCATGCGGTGTTTATTGACTGACAGTAGATATGTACATTCACCGCATCACTCTCACTCTCTCTCACTCTTTTAAATAGTGCCCGGAATGTTTGTCATTTTGCCACGCGCGACCACAGACAGCCTGGCTGTTGGCTGTTGGGAATTTCAAATGCGAGTTGTTCCACATCGTCCGTCCGTCAGCAAAATGTTGTTCTGCTCGACGGCTCAATTATGCCGTGGAGTGGCAATTAAAACCGCTAAATGAACGCCAAAACAATCACAACTGATGTTGCGGAAAGTAGTTTAAAAATCGGTTCTATAGAGGCTACAGTGGGTTCCATTATGTTTAGAAGACACTGAGGGATCAATCTTGATAGATCTTGATGATTAATCGATGATTATACTTTCATAAAATCATCGCCTAAGAATTTGTATAAAAGAATTTGACATTTGCCAACCTAGAATTTAGTCAGGCAGCCATAACCGTTAAGCCAACAGTAACTATTCCGCAAAATAATTGCCACACTCGCATCAAAATCTGTGTCTTCCGCTGCCGCCACAAAAGCTGCAAAATGTTTTGAGGGCTTGGAGGGGATGGATGGGTGGATGCCACACCTCTAATGGCATCCGGGCAACTGAGGCATCTGTTTTTACAGCTGTCATAAAAGCCGCACACACAATAACAGCATAGAAGAGCAGCCAGCCAGGCTTAAACGATTTTAAAGCAGAGCCCGGGCTGGCACAGATGCAGATCCTCGGCCTCGTATAATTTAATGCTGCACGGGGACATGGCATGTAATTAAATTTTTTGTGATTTAAAAAAGGGATTCTGTATGTGTATGTGTATGGGATGGGGTGTGGCGTGTGTTGTGTGTAGCCTAGGGGTCGGTGAGGACAATTGCTTGCTCTAAAAATGCCACAAATGTGTTAAATTATAAACACAACAGCAACAGCAATAAAAAGGCCGAGCAGGAGCACGGGGCAAAACTAAGTAGAGGAGAAAACTTTGCCGCTTTTATGACATGAACATGAACCACTTGTAGGCAAGCCACAAAACGCAACGGGCAGAGTGAGGAGTGAGAATTGAGGAGACAGGAGCGAGCGGCAGTGGAGGAAACGCGTTGCAGGCAACCACAGAATGACACAAAGCACTGTTTGACAACACTGAAAGAAAACAGAGAGAGAGAGAGATAAATACACGTAGCGATGCTGCAAGAACTTTTCCCTCAGTGTAGTAGCCATGGCAGACCGACAAACAGGATCAGAAAAGAGCAAACGAGGAACGTTGATAAAACTTGTCGCATGTGTGGTGGTCCAACCAGGGGGAGACAGTCTGGTTTTGAGCGAGGCTGACTTAACTTGAAATTGTTGCCAAGATGTGCGTTGTATAATGCAAACGTAAGAGTATCTGTGTGAGTGCGTGTGTGTAGGCGTGTGTGCAGCGCAACAGCTTGCCAATCAGTTAACAGAGAGGGGCCAACATCCTCTTTTGTGGTAACGTAACGTTAAGTAGTCTAATAGCAGGTGCATGTCTCTGCATGTGATGGAGCAGTTGCGTAGATTTATTTATTTGGAGACTTTACTTTCTTTCTGAACTTACTTTTCCATACTCGAACCCCCAAAGAATCCCCCCAAAAAAAGATACATATGACATTTTCTTTCAAGTCGCATTTTGAGTTCATTTAATAGAAATTTTATTTGATTAGATATACATAATTATTATACGGATCTCTATGCACTGCTATTAACACCAAATCTAACGTGTCGACACAGGAATGGAATGACTACAATCTGCGCTGGAACGAGACGGAATATGGCGGTGTCAAGGACCTGCGTATCACGCCCAACAAACTGTGGAAGCCCGACGTGCTCATGTACAATAGGTAAGTGGTCTGTGTCCACAGTGGGAGCGACTTTACAACTAACCGAATAGAAAGGCTGCCAAGCCCCCAAATGAATCAATCAAACTAAAAAAGTGTTTTGCGCTATAAACAGCTTCAGGGATAACTCTAGGCATATCTATATCAGAATATCTTTAAATACATACTATATAAACTCGTACTATATACTCTTGAGAAATGGTAAGAAAACATAACCCGATTTAGATCTAATCTGTTGGATCGTATGATAAACCCTTGTCCGTTCTCTTATGGTTTCGTTTGCGTTCCAATATTTATATAGAAGTAAATACTTATATAACTTATGTAGATGGATAGTGCACTTTAGTTGGCTTTAGATTAGATTAGATAACTTTGAGAGTTACAGATGGAACTGTCGGAAGATGGGTTCCATCTGTGTGGCTTTGAAGGAGTTTGTTGAGAAGCAAAACTTGTTCCCAACAAACTCTGGCGTTAGTTGATTATTTACAATTATTCTTTGTACGTTTCTATATTATTTGAGTTAATTTTTGAATTGCAAACGATATTATCAGGTGTTATTTTATATAATATTTATCAATATTCCCAGCCCCATATATATCCCCCATACATCCCGTATCCACATACTCTACTTATACGTAGCTGTTGTGTTATAAACGCATCATAATCCACTCGCTATTGTTTGTGTGTCTATTTGTAAAAAGATCGAAAAATCGAAACAAAGCCACAACTTAATCATCAAAGATAATGTTTATGTTATGTGGGCCAACCTCGATCGACTCTACCCACATTATAATATTTAATATTTAATATTTAATATTTGTGTTTCAATGTTACCCACTTATGATTTGCTTTCAATGTTTCCGTTCCCAAAAAGAGTGACTTTAAAAAGAAAAAGGAAAACAAAAAACAAAAGAAATATATAACCAGAATATTTTACATTTTGTTTAATTCAATAAGAGTAGTTTACACGCAGTGGTTGTCTAGTGGGACTGTACATTGTCAGCTTGCCGTTGATGTGGGCCTCACATTGTAATTGGATTCGTAATGCTAACCGAACGTTGTATAACACATGAAATGCCTGCGTTATCCAAGCATTAAACTAAAACCAGCCATCAAGCCATAACTAAAGCCGAACTAAAGATACTAAAACTAAACCAAAACCCAATGCAATGACAAACAAAAACAAGCTAAATAATCGCCCAGACTAAATACCAAACAACTTAAACATTGTTTAACCAGAATATTGCGCAAGTATGTAGTTTGTTCGAAACAGCACCGAAACCGTAACCGACCATCAATCATCAATTGTCCTTCTGCAAAAAAAAAGAAGGACTCCTCGCGAGGTCTGCGGTCTGCGGGGTCTACCGCCTGTGGTCTGTTGTCTGTGGTCCGCTTCCCTCTCCTTTTGCTTGAAACTTCTGCGAAACTTCTTCTTCTAATCTCAACCCAATCTGAAGGCTAATGCATACACGCATTATTTCCGAAAGACAATAACCAACAGAGAGATTGTTCAACAATATGCTGGTGTAATATTTCTGGTTAGACGTTCAGTACTTGAATTTATTTGGCCAAGAACAAAAAAGAGTAACATGAAAAAAATATATATATGAATAATCTAAAACGAAAACGAAGAATGAGAAAAGAAAATGTTTTTTGTTAAAACTCATACGTAGCTTGCAAAAAACAGAACAAGAAAACCCTCAACTCAACTAAAGAACAAACATCACTGAAATAGATGGCAAAATAGATTTTCAAGTATTGTGCATGAGAAATCAAATCCCTCGTACTAAAGACAAAAACTAAATAAAAGTTCATATAAATAAATATACCAAATGCAATGTTACTAAACCCAAACCCAAACCCCAAGACATTCCCTCATCTAACCATCGAGTGTACCAGTGCAAAGTGCTTGTCTGGCCACCGACTAAACCTAAAGCCACCTACTAACCCATACACCCCATGATACACACCATACACACAACAAATCACACGCCAAAATTAAATGTATTAGTGATTCTAAATGCCCATTCATTACATAATTAAGTTAAACCTTAATACATTCGACTAAATACACAAAATCTTAGCTAAGATAGCTAAGCATTCTCCATCAAGTTAATGTTAAATGTTAAACCCGCAAGTCATCCGCAGAGATCTCTACAAATATCACTCACCGAAGCCACCGAAGAAGAACCCTAAACTTGAGATTAGAGTTTGATGAACTTTCCAGAAGATACAAAACTATCTATAGCCGAACAGAGAAGGCTTTTTGATGTTCATTTAAGCTGTGAGCATTTTTCAGAGTTCATAACGAAATTTACTTGAAAAATTTACTGTTGAGCCGCTGGAAAGCCCTCTAAAATAAATATTTCATAAGAGTTTTGTTCTCGGCAGCTGCAGCTTAAGACTCTGTGAAATACCTAAACAAATCTATAAGCATTCTAGGAACTAGATAGTTTATAAATATCTTCTCGGAAGGATCATCTAATCTAAAAGCAAATAAACATTCATTGGGGCCCCTCGTGGTACAACTTTCTAAACATTCACAGCTTGATATCCAAATTGCCATCACTAAATGTTAGTTTATGTGTCCATCTAGTTAATCTAGCCGTATGCGTGTGTGTATGCGAGTGATTTAGAGTGTGAGTGTGTGCCAATCAGTAAAACATAACAACAACAGAGACACGCTTCAGTAGTAATTACGGCCCTTGGCTCATGCATCATCATGCATACTGCCTCTCATAAGCCAAAGGGAAAACATTTCAACAGCATCGAGGATTGCAAAAACGAGGCGATTACAAATGTTTACTTCATCTCTCTCTCTCTCTCTCTAGCTTTGCCTCCCGCCCTCGATGTCTCGCCATCTCTGTGTTCTCCAAATAATTGCAATTTCATTTCTCATTTTCCATGCCATTCGCTTTTAAAATGTCTGCCTGAAAAAAGGAGAGGAATGAGTGGATGAGTGAGTGTGTGTTTTGTGTGTTTTGTGTGCTTGGCAATCATCAGAGTAATCAATTGTTGTCGATGTGTGTGCTATATCTATACCTATACCTATGCTATATCTATACTTATATCTGTACCCATAGTTTCTGTCGTTCATTATAGCCATTTGCTACACAAATACATAAATAATAATCTCATGTACTCCCAGTTGTTGCTCGGTGTCCAGTTATAATCATCATCTATCTATCTATCTATATAACCAAAGCATTCTACTCGTAAATCTATGCCTCAATATACATATCTCTAGCCGTTGCTGTCTGTTCTCATTGTGTTTAACTGTCTAAACTATTCTCCCATATACATATGTAATCTATATGTACTATGTATATGCCCATATCTTTTATTGTCTGAGTGTGCGTGTGTGCATCAATGGGCAACGAATAGCCATAGCCATTAGGCCTGAGTTTAAGCTAGTCTAAGTGAATAACTTGTAAGCTCTACTTATTTGCATGCCCCACCACCACATCAGTATAGATCTAAGGACACACACAAACACACTCGCACAAAAGTACAAACGCAAAAGGACCAACTAATGAAGTACTACAAAGTTTTGCGGTGCTCCGACTACTCCCAGTATGTGCATAGACAAATGACTTCAAAGGGAAAACTTTATATTTATATATCGTTCCGCATAAGGAATTATAGCTGTCATAGTGCAAAAAAAATATAATATTCCGCCTCCACCAGTTGCACAAAAAGCGTTCCCATTCACCGAATACGATTGCAGCAAATCCCTGCTGCTGCTGCATCAGCAAAAAACCAAATACATGTCCGCCCATGCGCCCATTGGGGGCTTAAACATTTTAAGCCATAACTTAAATGTCAAAATGTGTTGGTGGCAGCCGCTCTCCAATCCTATCCGTTGCCAGGTGCCGACTAAAAACAACTTAAATGCCACCAGTCCCCTGAGCATGGGTCTGCACAGAAAAAAGTGCATAAACTTTGGTCACAAATGAAGACAAACTACGGCAGCGGCAGCGAGCCTTTCAGAGCTCTCGGATACAAATGCACCTGGCGGAGTGTCTGTCCTCCTCTGGTCGCACGAGTGTGTGGCATGTGTGTGTGTGTTTTGTGCAGTGTGCCGCAGCTGCATTTGCCGAGCTAATTGCAATTTATATTTGCAGCAGTGCGAAGCTTATTTAACCTAATGGGGGGTGAACATTTTACAGTTGATTGACGCATTGGGCATGTTCGCATGGGGTTCTCCAGTGGCAAATGGAATTTACATGTCACACGAGAGAGGATGCCACCGACAGGGACAAAAAAAGAAACGAAAAGCAAACAGACCCGAACCGACTACCCGACCATAGCGACCACCAACCTGAAACAATGAATCAAAACACGTACGCTCCGGGTTTAATTTCCAGGGCACGCAGCATCCGGCGTTGATTCGTCGGAGATTCGCAGTAACGCAGCAGGGGGGAGGGAGGGAGGACTGGCCGGAGAACAAGAACTGGCCAAGCGAGGCCTACGCGAGAAATGGCTTGAAATGAAAATCATATTGATTAGCCATGTAGTCAGCATAGTCAGGGGAAATCAGTAGATGGCCAAGGAGCATCAGAAGAGCGTCCTGGCACGGCACCGTAAGTTTCCCCTTGGAGAAACCTTTCGGCTGTCAACTTTATTTGCTAATGAACTTGCACAGACTCAGAGTCAGAGTCAGAGTCAGAGTCCTGAGTCCAGGGTCGTGCCTCGACAAAGAAAGCCAAACCAAATGGAAACACGGTGGCGTTGGCGGTTCCGGGAAACTCTTTCGCCTCCATTTCGGAGGTATATTTTGGGGACTGCTCGCAGATAGTCCGATTGAGTGAGCATTCGTTTGGGGGAACATCGCACTGCCAGAGTTTTATTTCGTTTAATTTATTAATTCTTCTTTCTTTTTGAGCCAGCCCCTCCTCTGGCTGGGGTTCGCTCCCCCGCCTAGAGCCTAATTTGTATGCGTCGCCATCGCTGCTAATGTGCGGCCATCATTTAGATCAATAGCGAGACGACGAGGCATAAAGCTACACAGAAACAAAAACAGATACAGCTACAGATACAGATGGAGATACAGGGAAAGAGAGAATGGCCTTGCCTTGCCTCATTATGGAGCTTCTTTCCGCGAATCAATCGGCTCCGGCAGCCAGCTCTTTTTTTTTGTATGCCATTTACTTATGCTGATTTCATTCGTACCCGTATTCATTCTATAGATTCCGTCCGGCTCCTTTCACATTGCTTAATTGAGATGCCGGACTGGAGCGAACCGAAACGGACCGGACCTTAAACCGCCAATGCCAGATCCAGCAGCGCGGAATGAAAAGCTTTCACTGTAATTGCAACATTATCTCCGTATCTTGTATCCGTATCTGTTACAACTTTCACAGAAGAACACGCCAGTAAGCCGCATCCGAAATGAAATTGACAGCGGTGTCGGCTTAGCCGGGGGCCAACCTCTGGTCAGGATTCCATGCCCCAAAACAGAAACCGAAACAGGCAGCGCCAGAGACGGAGACGGAGGCGCAGACCAACGTCAATATTAATAATGTCGAGCAATGATTTTATTTACTTGTCCAAGGCCAAAGCTTGTGTGAAAAGAAAGGCTGTAAGCCGCAAACAACTGTTTTACTTACAGAAATTAAAATGACTTTGAGTGTGGGGGAAACGTGTGTGTTTGACGAGGGTCTCAATGTAGATTGGAATGCAATCATCCAACTGCGATTTCAATTAGCTCAAATACCTATTCTATTTGCGCCTCCCTTGAGGATACAAACCGCAATCCCTTAGGCCCGAGTGGGCATCATCTGTGCTCAATTTCGGTGTCGGTTTTGGTTTCGGTTTCGATTGGGTGTTCCTGTTTTCGGCTTGACCTGCCGCTAATCAGTGCCCAAATTCCACTTAAATGCCACAGAAATTGCATATAAGCCTCGTTACCCTCTGGTCCCTGACAACATACCCATAACACATCAGTTCCACTCGATTCAAGGGGGATCGTCCCCTTTTGACCACGAAAAATGCAAAACAAAATTGTCCACAAAATGTTTACGCATCATACTCAGTGTCCCCCCCCCCCCCAGAGTCTGAATCAGAATCAGAGCTGTAATTGCATTTTATTGCAGCATTTTGTGGGGAGACAAAAAGTTAAGAGATACTCGTACATAATGTATACAGCTCCACTATATAATATATGCGAATAAATGGGTTTATATATAAATGTATTTATGTGTGCTTCCTGCCAAGAGACCAGCATAGAAGTGGACGTTCACATTTTTGGAGTAGCTGCTGAGGTTCATTTGCATATGCACATATTGGGACACACAGGACACACAGGAGATAGACACAAAGATACAAAAGATATTTGTATTTGGCATTTGTTGTGTGCGAGACAAACGGGCATTCCGTGTGGGTCAATGACTGCTGAGAGAGTGGCATCCTAAGTATGTTGAGTTGACCCCCAGAGTTGAACCCCTCGTGCAGCTTCCAGTAGAGCTAGAACACACACACACACACACAAACACTTTTATGGTATTGTAGCTCTTAAGACCAAACACTTAACAAACACACACACAAAATCCCCTTATAAGAACTGCTCCCAAAAGTAGAGACATTTACCTAGATCCCCTCTGGCTCACTGCCTCCCCGAAGAGCAATCCAAACAAAAAACATTTTAACTAGCGAAAAAAAAAAAACAAAACAAAAAGAAAAAAGACAAACCAAAGCGCAAGTCACAAATAACCAGAGAGAAGAAACGATCAATATTGAATACAAAATAAACGAACATAAAAACCCTGAATCACAAAAAAGAAAGAAAGAAAAGAAAAACACTGATGAATTAAAAGAAGGCTGATGCCAATGAATCGAATTGCTAAAGAATATAACAGTCGTATAACAATCAATAACAATCGATCGAGAGAATAATCCATTAAAACAAATTGTACAATAATCTAGCGCGGATGAGGGATTCGATGGCACGTATCACACCAACATTGTGGTCAAACATAACGGCAGTTGTCTGTACGTGCCCCCTGGTATCTTCAAGAGCACATGCAAGATAGACATCACGTGGTTCCCATTTGATGACCAACATTGCGAAATGAAATTCGGTAGTTGGACTTACGATGGAAATCAGGTAAAGTGGCAATCGACAAAACAAACAAACAAAAAACACACAACAAGAAAGAACAAATATCAAACAGTTTAAACAGTTAATAGTACAGTAAACGCTGGCTACACTAGGCTACACTCACACTTACACCAATCACACTCACATTAAAACTAACACTAGAACACATTCCAACTCGAGCACAAAAATCACGCTTCTGCCAATCACGTGACTCACTCACGCACCAGGAAGAAACATACATGAATCACACGAAACACGCGAAAGGGAAGTCCAACCAAAGCGAAAGAGTCGACTGTTGCTAGATAGGAATATGGTAGGGATCCATAGGGTTATGCGACCTTAGCGTCCACTGACAGATTTCTCATTTTATTTATGTGCTTTTCCAAACTTCTGTCTCTCTCTCTCTCGCTCTCTCCAAGTATATTTTTATCTACCCAAATCTATATTCTAGTTTATGTTAAGTTGGTTTATCCTATCATCTCGAACAATTCTTTGCGTTTTTGCGAATTACAAAACCAAAAGATCGCAGTGTTGTTAACAGCACTGAACTGTCAGACTGAGCACTCACTCAAGTCAAGTGTGTGGGCTAAAATGTTCAATTCGCTCAGAGTTGATTGGATATTTTAGGGCCACACACCAAAATGTACTCTGAGCTTAGTCCAAAGGCCAAAGAAGGCCCCATGGCAGCTGTTTCCAGCACTAACACCGTCCAGTGTTGGAAGCGGAAATTTGCCTCTCGCGTAGGTTTTGTCTCACAAGAAGAGGAATCATGTGTGGAACACCCTAGAAGCTCTAAGGTTTCCACTATTTTGCATGGTAGCAGGCAAATGAAAAAAAGAAAACACCACGCCCAAAAAAAAAAAACAGCAACAGAAGAATATTTTTGGACGACGTAAAGACTCTTAATGAAATTCAAACAAAATAAATATATTCAAACAAAAAAGAAGTTTTGAGTAAAAATATAATTTACAGCGCTTTTATTTCCCACGTATTTTGCACCCAACAAAAAAAAGTTACAAAGCAATCTCCAAAGAAAATAAAAGAAAAACTCAAGCTCTCTATTTTGCTCGCTCGCTCTCTCTCTCTCTCTCTAAAACTCTTTCTCTCTATCTTTCGTACACCTTGAACACATGCTATATCTGTACATAAATGTTGTTTCAATGTGGCTTTTTGTAAAATCTAAACAACAAAAAATTCAACAACAAACTAAAATCTTAAATGTTCTTTTTCTCCAATATAAAAAAAAACAAAAACCAAAAACTCAAACTCAAACTCAAATCTCAATGACCAAAAAAAAACAAAATTGATTTGCCCATTGCAAATGAATTTCCTATGAATTCTCTATGAATATGAATATGAATCTATTCAAACAAACAAAAAACAAAAATTGTTTGAAAATCAGTTGGATTTGGTTTTGAATTCCGAAGATGGAGGGGATCTTTCCGATTTCATAACAAATGGCGAGTGGTACTTGCTTGGTTAGTAAACGAAACCTCATTATGCTTATTTCTCTAACTGTTATTTCGTTTGATCGTTGTCATTTGTAAATGTCTAATCAGCATTAATCCCACACCAAAAATAAAAAAAAACCACAAAATTATATAAATAATCCAATTTGTTTTTGATTTTCCAACTTGCTTGCGAGACCGAACTGAAAAAAAAAATGCTTCATAGTCATTTATGATTTGCCTAGAATCTTGATTTATTTGATCTAGTTATATGCTTAAATTGTACATAATCTGTAAAAAAATATCTGTTGTACATATCCGTGTGTGTGTGTGTATTTGTGTCTCTGTCATTATCGATGACACCCCTGCCCGATGATTACTAATGAGATCCGTTTTGTCGTTCAGCCATGCCGGGAAAGAAGAATACGATAGTCTACGCCTGCTGCCCAGAACCATATGTCGATATCACCTTTACTATACAAATACGTCGCCGTACATTATATTATTTTTTCAATTTAATTGTGCCCTGTGTGCTTATCTCATCGATGGCCCTCTTGGGCTTTACATTGCCTCCGGATTCGGGCGAGAAGCTGACGCTGGGTGAGTATGCCAACTGAATCCATATTAGTCCATACACAGATACATATCTTACATTCCTTACAATTGATCTGATATACATATATATGATATGATCTGATCTACTTTATACCCCAATATAAATGCATTTTATAAGCTCTTTCAGCGGTGACAGCGGTGCCTCAAGTGCACACAGTAGATGTCTGAGTTAGTGATAGTTAGGTGGTCCAGCAGTTAATCAATCTAATCTATGTATCTATCCGTTTATCGAGTTTGGTGAGGTCAAGCAGCGAAGGTAGCGAAATGAGGCTTAGCTGGATTTAAATATATGTATACGACTTAAACCCCCCAAAAACCTCCGAAAACCAACTTAAAAATCTTCCCAAGAAAAACTCTCCCCTTAAATTCTCTATATATTCAACGCTGCTTTTAACGATAGTCAATCTATGCATGTCTTTTGTTGAGTAAAACTAAAGTAAACTTAAAAGTAAAATACCACACAAATCGAAGAGTGTTTCCCTCATGGCAAGGCATACCAAATTTAGATGCAGAAACACACATTTTCCGATAGCAAGAAACAACGGACGAAAAACGAATTTTAATCAGTAAGGATTGAAATGCCTTTTGTTGGGAAACACTCTCTCCATGTGCTCTAACTTAAAGACCCTGCTCTGTCCTGTGCCCAAGATAAACTACAATTTTAACTTTCCCCTCTCCAACCCCCAATATAAAATCCTCGATAAAACCTAAAACCCAAAAAAGCAAAGAACTTATAAACTAACAAGTAAAAATGTGTAAAAGTTTTGTTTATTTGTTCGATAATATAATGATGATGACTTTGATCTTGATCTTTCAGTTTTCCGATGAGTTTTGCGTTCGACTTTGATTTAAATTGCGTTTCTTATCTCTTTATATCTCGTATCTCTTGTTGCAGGCGTAACTATACTACTATCATTAACAGTATTTCTAAACCTTGTTGCCGAGTCCATGCCGACAACGTCGGATGCTGTTCCTCTTATAGGTACACACACACGCTAATTAATTCGCTTTAGCTTAAAAGTACAGTACCGCAGACCGGCTGATCCAATCCGATCGAGCAGTATCCATCATTAACTAACTTAAATAACTAACAAGAGCCGAAACCAAAACAAAACAAAACAACAGAAAGTCGTGCTGTGCCTCATGCTGTTTTTTTTAGTTGATCATTAGTTTTGCTACAGTAGTGCAATGAACTAAAGAAAACCGAAACCAAAACCAAAACCAACCACGAATACTAACCAAGCAGAAAGATACGAATACGAGAATACCAACACCAATTAACTTAGCCTTCAAACACCACACTCTCTCTGTCTCTACACTGGAACACAGAAACACCACCGAAACACTTTCCGAATTACACAGAACACACTCACACACACGAATGAGGAATGATATCAACTTATCCCAAATACTCTTCGTATGTTTGCTAATAGATCTACCATATATATATATATATCTCTCTGTACTCTCTGGACTTTCACCTCGTGTGCCATCACAAAAAAACCAATTTGAGCCGGATCGTGGATAGACCTAGAGCCACACATACACCACTGACAACACTCCAGTAACCCCAGAACACCTTCCAAAGTACTATCTCTGTCCCACGTAAAGCCACGTAAAGTACACTCGAGTCGATCTAATTTTCTTTCTTTATCTTACTACCTACCAGTCTTTTCTATAATACTTTTTTCTATGCTAATACCCAATCTCATCTGATTATCCTCCCATTGGGTGGGTTATTCCGGGTTATTCGAAAGCTCTGACATAATTGGTATTTGACCACAAGACAAAACAAAGCCACCACAGCCTCAAAGCCACAAAATCACAAGCCTCAGACACAATCACAGTCACAGTCACAGTCACAAGTTACAGTACAGATACAAATACAACAGCTACAGAAAACCGAATACGATTACGATTACGAAAGTTTTTCATTTCAATTTTGCTGTGTTTGCCTATAAAGCTGTCCTATATAATCGTTTCTTGAGTTCTTATTGTCGTTTGGTTGTTTGTTTGTTTGTTTGTTTGTTGGATTCGTTTGTTCTATGTTTAATCTACGTGTGCCTCTAGATCGTATCGTTTCGTTTTTCTGTCTTCAGTTTTTATAAGCTTGCCAACCCATATACATATATATATTATGATATATTAATAAATATTAAAATGGAATCGACTAAGCCCCGATCATCCTGTAAATACGCTTGTCCTTAGTGTGTGTGCTCACCTCATAATCACGCTCTAGGACGGGCCTAACTCAGACTCGACCATGTCTAATCCTATCCCAATCCAATCTCCTCCACATTCATTGCCTGACTTCCCCGATCCTCAACTGCCGCCCCGGCTAATCATCCCAACTAAAAACTAAAAAGCATAGCATCAAAAACGTAGACTGAAATGCAATTAAAGAAAAATGTACTTAAAATCTAGCGTCAATCTTGTATATACACACTTTATACATATTGTATCTGTATAAACCAAAGTTTAAACTATGAAAAATCCAACGAAAAACCTTTTTTCGCTACCAGGAGAAAAAAAAACCCAAAGCCGAAAGGAAGCAGAAAAACAGAAACCAACTCACAAACAAAAAAGCTGCGCTCGCTCTCTCTCCCTCTCACTCTTTTTTTGTGCATCTTTTTTATGTTTGTTTGGTACAGTCAGACAAAACATAAACAGACAGGGCAAGGGAGGAGCAGGAAGGCAGGGCAAACGTGTGGGAGAAGGTGGACTGGTTCCAAGTGCAGCCCGAGGCTCGAACCTCAGCCAATGCACTTATAGTACATTCCTATTGCTGCCTCAGCCGTTTGCCTTCTTTCAACTTACCTGCCCGCCTTCTGCTCTTTACTCTGTGGATTCTGTCGCATGTCAAATGCAGGAAAGGCCAACAAACCCACCAACCGGAGGGACCACAGAGTATTGCCTGGTAGAATCGTTTCCCGGATTTTGTATGCATATAACATAAATCATGCTTATATATACACAACGTACAAACATACATACATATGTGATATATAACCTGTACAAATGCCACTCACAAAATAGAACAGTTCTCGTAGAGAAAGCGAATCAAAACCGAAACCGTTACCGATACCGATACCGATACCGAATCTGAAACCTTGTGTAGAAAGAGGAATAGCCATTTAGCTAGGACAGAACACAGATGTTGTATTTAAATGCTTGACATACTCTCTACTCTATAACGTATGTACCTGCCATAGCCACACGATAGCCACACGTTGTAGTAGAGGCCTCTCTCGGTAGGTATATGACTCTCATAACCAGGAGTCAGTCTTGTTTTGTATTGTTTTGAAGCTGTACAAAAAAGCATCGCCTCGGGAAAGAATAAGCATCTATATTAATCATATAACTATATACAATATATATATACTACTATACTATATACCTATATCAAGACCGATCACCCACAATCACAATACCGAACACTGTATATAGACAACACGCTGAACAGACGTAAGTACACCTGAAGCCACCACCTGAAACAAGAGAACCTGAAACACCACCATACACTGAAAAAAAAATATAGCAAGAAAAAGAGCAACCAGAACTTTTGATCGAACGCCGCCACACGAGCGCATGCAACGAAAAGCTAAAAACACTCTCCAACACTCTCTCTATGCCTCTCTCTCTACCCCTAACTCTCGCTCACTAGCTCGCTCTAACTCTCTCTCTCTCTCTCTCTCTCAGTATATATATCAGTATATAAATATCCATATAGCTATATATATAATTCTCTGCGGCAAGAATTCTCTTTGATTCTCACACCAACAACCAAACAAACCAACCAAACCAAACCCAAAACACCAAACTAACCTAGATCTTTCTTGCTCAACAAACTCATATATTGAAACCCGTAAACTCCTGGCATCTAAACCGTCCACCGCAACCACTCCCCAGACTCCCCCTCGAACCACCACCACATAGAACCATAGGTCTCCCCTGATCTAAACGAAAAACCCACTTAAACGAAATGAATCCCTAAAAAAAGGTAAACCAAAACTCGAAAGCAACATTTGAACTTGCATTTATGCAGATCCATTTGATCAGATGGTAGAGTTGCAACTCCACATAATATCGTACCGTTCATGATGTCGAGCCCATCATGCGTTCATATTATGTCATATAGTACATACCCCTATCTATATATGTATATATTACCCAATTCCGATACCAGATCCGTTACCGAATCCTTTTCCAACAGCCGCACCCAGTGAAGCCCCCAAACCCCCCCAACTTGACAAATCATTTGCATGCAGTGTGCAAATTTCCTCTCGTAATGCCCATTTAGCCTCTCTGACTCCACCATGTCCCGGTGTGGCACGTAGCAAATTAAATGAGGCGCGCATGTGGGCGTGGCAAATTGGCAACACGTAGCACGAGTGTGCCAAGCAAAGCGTCGTGGAGGGTCGAAAGGGCTGTGTGCAAGGCCGGGAACTTGAGCGGACTTTGAGTTCAATTTACAGATACTCTGAGACCAAGAAAAACTTGCTCTACTTTCAAAGTTTATTTCCCCACTCTTCCCGCTCACGCCCACGCCCACGCCTCCTACTAATGGGTCAAAGTTGAGACTACCCCGCTGCCGTGTCACCCAACCCCCCTCTGGCAACTAAGCTCAGGAAAAGTTGACTTATTTCTTTCTGCAAAAATACAACTTAATACTCTGAGACGTTGTGAACTTTTTTGTGCCCATTCTGTCAGATCGTAATCTCCAATGGGTACAACACACATCTCAGGAGAGGTACAACTTTGAGAGAGCTCCGCCAATACCAATCCAGGGAACCCTTACTCCGATTCCGATTCCGATTCCGAACCCAGACTTGAGTTGAAACCGTTTCGAATTTTGAGTTTGCAGCATACTCTCTCAGGCATATACTCCATATATCCACTCTCAAGCACACTTCATTCAGAGATCAAGATCAATTGAAAACCAATCAAAGCAACCGATAAACTTCACTTCTAAATATAAACCAAATCGCCAGTCTCTCCAGAAGTCTGACTCAACGGAAGAAAAGAGAACAACGAACAGACTGAAACACCTAAACAGAACATACATACAGAACATGTGTTTTACCTACATATAAACTTACTTCTCCAAAATGTCCAAACTACACAGCTACCGCCACATACAGATACAGATACAGATACAAAATACAGATATACTTACACATACATAAACGTACGCTTTATGATTTCCATTTTCGATTGTGTCATTTGTGTTTTTGTGTGGTTGTTATTGTATTTTTCAAAACGAAAACAAAATTCTTTTGTTTCAGGAGTTACAATTCTTCTATCGCTCACAGTGTTTCTCAACCTTGTAGCTGAGACATTGCCCCAAGTATCTGATGCAATCCCCTTGTTAGGTAGCGATTGCATTTAAAACATACTTACCAAAATGCAAATATATATTCAAATTTGTCAAAACCAAAAAAAACAAAAAAACCGAATAATTAACTAACTACTTAATATGATTTACATATACGTACATGCCTAAATGCCATCCATATATATGTATATATAGACGTATCTATATCTATATATATATGTATATCCATGAATATTATTGTTATTGTTGTTATCTATATATATATATACATATCTATTACGATTATATTACTCACACACATTGCTAAATTGTTCGCATATATAATCCCCCTCTCAAAATGAATCCAAAACTGAAACTAAAACTTAAATAAAGTAATAGTCTAACCAACCAATCAACCAATCAACCAAATAACCAACCAACAACCAAGTCAAACAAATACTACTACTACTCGTACCACCCCCTTAAGCAACTCTAAGCGACAATAAAGTTGATAAATGTTATTTGTGTACGTCGTACTATGTTTACTAATTACAACAACAGTTTGCCACTTACTAACTTAACTCAAAACTAAAAACCAACAAAAAACCAAACTAAACCAAATCAAATCAATTCTAACTTATAACTCGTTCTCTCTGTCCCACTACCCTATCTCTCGCTCTCGCTCTCGTTCTCGTTCTCGCTCTCTATATCTCTCGCTCTCTAAATCGTTCTGAACTTCAAGTTATAATATATCAAATATATCAAATATCAATTACAATCAAATACCAATATCGATATATATATAATCGAAGCAGTTCCTTAGTTGATCATACTGTATTCTGTTGCTGTCTCTCTATCACTATATCTCTACTATATCTCCTCCAACTTTCTCCATTTTAACAATCAACAAACTTTTTGGTTCGCTTCTTATTAACAACCAGAACCAGGCAGAGCCCCAGAAAGACCGGCTTTACGATTAGTTAGGACAATCTTTTAAATGCTATCGTTATCTATCGTTATACACTTCCTATCTATACTTCAATTTCCGCTTTTTCTTCAATTTCTTCCACCAAATAACTTCATTGAAGAGGGAAGCACTTGCCAACCAAAGATGCTGCCCCCAATGATTGATACATTTCCCTTCAATACGAAACCTCTATTCCCAGAACCGAATCGGTTGGGCCTCAATGATGCAATAGATCCCATATCTATCTTCATATCGAACTGAATTCGAAACCAAATCCCACTTAAATGTAAAATTTCATTTCAAAATTTGAATTTCTATCGCATCAGAGCCTCCGCCTTGAAGGGTTCATTCTGTTATAATTCGACACACACATGTATGTACAACAAACCATAATATACCTAGTCGTATAAATGTATGTGAATATCCGTACTACATATATGGTAAATGTTTTGTCTTACCTTCCGCTTCGCTCAAAACGCCAACCCCTCAACTACAAATTCCACCCATACGTAATTACAAAAGATACTTATGAGACAGATTTCAATGCAAGTGAGTTTGGGAATATACTTGTGATAAACCAGAAACCAGACAACGACAACGCAAATAAAGATTAAAGAATTTCTTGTGCAAGATGCCAGTAAATGCTAAAGATGCCCTGTCGTCGTCAAAGACACACACACAGACCGAAAATAATGAAATCAATTAAGAAAGAAAGAAGTTTTTATCTTGTATTGTATGATTTCGACTTTTTTGCTAACAGCTTTGATTTGTGTTTGATTTGGTTCTCTCACGCTCACTATCACCAACACTCACCACTCACTCATTTCTAGATTGTCAGTTTTATGCATTGTCACCCACACACCACAATATAAAAATATGTTTTACACCTTAAGTTTGTCCATGAGTATTACTCCACCATCTTGAAGCTCGTTCTCGTTATCGTTCGCTCGCTCGCTCGCTCGTTCACACAAGAAACTCTCAGTCATGACCACCAGACCACCACCAGTTACTCCAGATCACAGATCACTCCACAAGAAATCCACCGAACCACCTAACCACCGAACCACACACGCTTCTATATAACATTCTTAGGCTAATATCTGCCAAGTGCCTAAACCCGGTCCTGGTCCCGGTCCTCATCCTGCATCTAACTATCAAGATACTCTTTTAGCCCATTTCTCGGAATGATATTTTTTGCTTGAGAACCTTTTTTGAGAACTCAAACTAAATAAGTACCTACTACTATCTGAAAACTACGGTTACTAAAGCATTGACAATAGCATATCTGGTATCATTTCGTTTCGATTGCATTTTTTTACAGATGATAATGATAATATTTAAGAACATATAAGTATTTGAAACGCACTCACTCCCTCCCGACAAACAAACGATGAGTCTTGTGTTGTTGTATGTATGATGATGATGTGTTGTGTTCTCTCCGAGAAGGTTCAGCCAAAAAATATCATTTAGCCTAACCCTGAAGCTATCTAGCACCTGTCTCCACTACCACTTCCCTACTGCTCGTACTTCAATCTATTACCAATGACACTAAACGGCGCTCGACCCGGACGAACGATCCACTCATGATCGGTGATGAATGAGAACCTCTCCGATAGCCCGATGATCTCCTGCTGCACTCACACGAAATCTTACCAAAATTTGACCAAATATTTTGCAGGTGTTACTATACTACTATCGCAAACAGTTTTCTCACTGCTGGTCGGCAATGTCATTACCAAAACTAGCGAGGCCGTACCGCTGCTAGGTATTCGTAACATTCAATTGTAACTTTGAGTTTATCATTTGCCAAACCAAAAAAAAAACCAAACTAAATCAAAAATTCTTAGAGACCTAAAAGAACAAACCAAAACTCTTCTCTTTTAGCTGCTAAATCGAAAATAAATTCAAAAACCAAGAAAAAACGATTGTACAAAGTACTCATTAGACATAAAGAAAGTTTGCTAAAGCTAAAAATCAAAGTGAATATTGTAAAAACCGAGCGATAAAGTAGGTAATCGAATGTTAAGCGATGATAAGCATGATATGATCCAACTTCGGTCTACAGATGCTAAACCGAATGTATATTTGGAACCCGTAACCGTAACTGAAACACCCGAACCCTACCGAACAACCTCTGCTTCTTTAGACTTTTGGCTGAACCTCTTTGACATTTTGAGAGAAACTCTAATCAATACACACACATTCTCTAACACTGACTATCTTTCCACCCGATTGTGCCTTTGAGGGTCGTTTGCTTTTACAACCGGATATGCAATGTACATACAATATATCTATGCTTTAGGTAATCGTAAGTTCCTGGCACCCAAGTATCGAAAACATACTCAACAAACAGTCCATAAATCGAACGAATTCTTAGTTCTTAACCATCCAGCATTAAATATTCAGAGAGCATACCGTAAACCAGAGAAACGTTAAATAAATCAAACCAAAAATACATAATGTGTACGCCAGAGAAACTAAACTAAATGACAGCATTCTAGACAATTAGCTTAAAGTTTAAATCTTATCCGATAACCCGAGACCCAAAGACCACCCCCACAACCCATCCATGCCTGCTTTAATGAATGTTTTATTCGATTCTACGAGTAGCAAAGAACAGTCAAACGGATCTACCTAATTGTTAAAATTTGAATTGTTGCTATAAATCTCTTAAAAAATATAATTTTTATCCTATTTGACTGTTCTTTGTCTCGCTTCCTGTCACCTGTCACTGAACTCATGCATGAAACCAAAAACTCAAACACTAAACTGCATGGAAGAAGCCTGACATAAAATGTATTCGAATAAACATCAAATGTAGTGGCTTTGAGTAGACGTATTTTATAGTTGCATCCGAGTAACGTAACGAAACGTGAAGTAAAGTTAAAGTAACGTAAAGTACAGTAGTCGTACAGTACAGCATTTGCAATCCACACAGTAAACTTGAACACGCTACTTTCTCTAACCGTAACGTAACTCTAATCGAAGTCTGTCATGAAATGAAGCTAAACTAAAGTAATGTTGTACGATTCTTGTAAATTATGATTTAACGCTTCTGTTCTTAGTGTTTTGATGAGATGCAAGGCCCCACGATCAGCACTCTAACGTTCGCTTTTCTCTATATCTTCTTGCTATACCCCTAATCCCACGTAGGCACATATTTCAACTGCATCATGTTCATGGTCGCATCGTCGGTGGTGCTCACGGTTGTGGTGCTCAACTATCACCATCGCACAGCGGACATCCACGAGATGCCACCGTGGGTAAGTACCGAATTTGTACCTCATCGTACGATACTCCGCTGACTGGAACCCTTTATGGTTTTTGGTTTGGATCAGATCAAATCCGTTTTCCTACAATGGCTGCCCTGGATCTTGCGAATGGGTCGACCCGGCCGCAAGATCACACGCAAAACAATACTATTAAGCAATCGCATGAAGGAATTGGAGCTGAAGGAGCGCTCCTCCAAGTCCCTACTCGCCAATGTTCTCGACATTGACGATGACTTTCGGCATACAATATCAGGATCTCAAACCGCCATCGGTTCGTCCGCGTAAGTACTTCTATACACTCTACACTCCAGAGCTGATCCATTACTAACTATTGACATTCTCTGCCACATCTGCAGTAGCTTTGGCCGACCCACAACGGTGGAGGAACATCACACGGCCATTGGCTGCAATCACAAAGATCTCCATTTAATTCTTAAAGAATTGCAATTTATTACGTCGCGCATGCGCAAAGCTGACGACGAAGCGGAATTGATAAGCGATTGGAAGTTCGCTGCAATGGTTGTGGATAGGTGAGTGCACATTCTTCCCATTAAACACTTTCCACTTTCACATACACATAACATAACATTGTGAGCAAATTGTCTGACTAACCACAACTATGCTTGGGTATGCAATATCAGTCTTGTGGAGTTATATTCTACTATTAATTTTATTGTTACCATTTCAAATGGTATTCAGAGGGCTGCTCTCTGTTGTATGCCCCGCTGTCCAGGCATCTTCTGTGATTAGCCACATCATTATGTGCATCCAAATATTCACACTCCTGTGTGGAACTATTGAACCGAAGCCAGCATGCTTCGACGGCCGCTATCCAAGTCAAACAATTAGGCTTGGCAAACGCTTTGGCTGCCACACAACTTCCGGCGGAACGCCTTGCCAGGCACAAAGCCCATACCTACACACCCACACAAACACACAAGACACATACACATACATAGAGAGCACGTGGCTCAAATATTGGAAGATGGCCGACACATGGTGCCGGCACCATTTTGTTTTTGTGGCGCTGCTGATTCACTTTGCTCTTCTACTTCACAGATTTTGTTTAATTGTTTTCACGCTCTTTACGATTATTGCAACGGTAACCGTGCTGCTCTCAGCTCCGCACATAATCGTGCAATAAGGACGCTCAATTTAGACAATTAAGCTACGGATATGGATACGGATACGCACACACACACACACACAAGCGCGGAATAGATACGCCGGAGTGCGGAGTCTGTGTGTGTGTGTTAGGACGGGGGGAGATGCATAAGTTAAGTTCTTTTTCAAAAACCAAACAAACAAACAAAAAACTAGCGAAGCTGCTTCGAAACCGAATGCAAAAAGCAAAGAAACAAATGGAAAACCCAACAAAAAAAATTGTTAATTACATTTTTAAGTCAAAAACAAAGCAAAACAAAAAAAAGAGCAAAGGAAATTTCGCAAAAAAAAGAAAAGAGAAACAAAATCATATACTAAACCAAAATATTTTATGGAGAAACCAAACAAAAAAGCAAAAATTACTGCCGTACAAGAAACCGAATAAATAAGAGAGAAAACAAAAGTGTTAGTTAAGCTACACAGACACACACACAGACACGAACAAAAATTATAAAAGTTAAGCAAACAAAGGGCAAAAGCAAGCCAAAATTTTGCATAGGGATAGAGGAGGAGCAAGCCAATGGGTGGAGGTGGAGGAGCATACGAGGGCAACATCACGGTAAAGGACACACACAAAAGCCACATATGTATGTGAGCACACACACACACACAGATGCTCACATGTATAAGTTATAAGTTAATTAACACGTTGAGTTTGCTATAATTTATGTAAGATGACAGACACTATATAGAGACACAACACATAAACACAAACACATAAGATATATGATATATATATATGTATAAGAGATTGTTCCTATGAGACATTAGATATGTATTTAAAATGACAACACACACACACGCAGAGACAAAGCAGAGACACACACAGACACTTAAGCACTTAATTGACAAATGCAAAAACATGGGAAAGAAATTAGGTGCAGGCGAGTGTTGGCAGTAGAAGGTTTGACTTATCGATTTTTTTCTCTCAGTTTACTTCACCATATTTTAATCTTTAGTTTTGATTTCTGGGATCACGTGGACCAACAATATTTTGTTTGATTTCCCTTGTTCACATTTTTCAAACAAAATATGATCCAAAAGAAAGAACTTCAAGAATCTTGTTTTCGTTCATATTATGAGAATTTCAGATCTTCTTTTTCAACTATTTACTTTTGGAGTGGAGTGTGAAGATGGACAAGTGAAAAGTGAAGAGAATAGCTAAGTGTAACATGGTAACAAACTGACACATAATAATGGATACAAACAAAATATATATATACATACATACATGCATATACATATGTATATTGAATAGTGAATTGAAATTAATTTTTAAAAGGCTCATTACGCGAACGAACCCTTTGTGCAGGAGAGTACGAGTATATGTTCGTTGAACGAAATGTTTTTAGAAAATTTATTGTTGAAATATTGTAGCAAATCGAAAATACCGAATTGAATATGAAAAATGAACGAACCGAAGCAAACAACCGAGTTATAGTCAGCAATTAATTAGTCAAAGTAATAATTACAATGAAACACACACAAAAAAGCGAAATCAGAAACCAAAATCCAAGAAAGCAATGCAACATGAACAGGTGTATATTTATTTTATGACACATATATCACCGCATATATACATACATAAATATACATACATACATACATACATAATATATATATTTTTAATAAAACCAATACGGAAACGAGCAAAACTACAGACACTAAGCAGAAGCAGCGCATCCCGAGAAGAGTCTCCCACAAAGCCAACCAACCAGAACACAAAGCCCCAAAACAAGCCCAATCGAATCCAGGAAATCACAATTTTGTTGGAAGTTTTCGCATAGTTTTCGTATCGAGTTCTCTTCCCCAACGTATTCCTAGATACGAGCTTCAAATTTCGTCTACTTTACTCTCTGCTCTATTCAACCCAATCGAATCGATCCTTAACGATCTCCCCCTCACACACGCAAAGCAAAACAGTGATATTTACGGTATAGCCCCCAATGAGAACGAACTCGTACACGAAACACTCTTTCCGGAACCCACCTACGAAACCTATTAATGTGAATGTTTTCTACACACAAAAACCAAAACCAAAACCAAAATCAATGATCAATGAAAAACCTACCTCCTTGTTAAAAAAGTAAACAAATTAAAACGATAACTAACGGATCCGATATCCGATGGATGGATCGACGATTAGAAGATGAAGCAACACTGCCGTATTAATCGCACTCCTCTGTCTTCCCCCTGAGTAAAATACCCTCTTTCTCACTCACTCTATTTCCGGAATAGTAGATATTTATGTGTTGTCCTATCCGAGGGAATTTCTAACAGAATTGTGCGCACCACGAACCACTTTTGATAGCCAGACGAAAAGTTTACTTAAAGGAAATGAAAATCAGCTCACCCCCGAACCCAAACACAGTCTAGGAAACGGAACACCATTGAGTGCTGGAATTCAAGTGAAGGAACTGCAGATCTAAGCGCTATACGTGTATACACTCACTTTGTATGTTTTATTTGCATTTACGAGTACATTTGATATTTGATATGAGAAGATTTTTACTTACGCCCCGAGCGATGCGTAATCCTACCGAAAACTGCTCTGTCCCCCATGAGGTTGTTGTTTATGTATTGTTTTTTCGATGTTTGATCGATTTCAAATTCAAATTTCAAACTGAAATTGATATCCTGCGTTAATTACGAGCACGATACGGTATCGAATCGAATGAGAATCAGATAAAGATGAAAAATGAAGATTGAAATGGAGATGGAGATAGTGTGTGCATTTTAAATTTAATTTTTTATAATTAATTTAGTGCTAATCTTTGAGCAGCTAGGCGCGTAATTAGAACTATGTATATGTGTATGGATGTCTTTTTGATAAAAAGATGCTATTTTAAAAAGCAAACCATTTTCTACACTCTTTAAAAGATTGAACTCTACATGTACGAGAATATGTATAATAAAAAAGTAATAATAAAATAGCATTAACTAGGCAATTATAAACAAAATGGAGACGATGATCATGATGATGATGATGTTGATGGCGGGGCAAGGAACTATAAACTAAGCGTCCTACATTAGGAGAGGGCCACTAGCGCGAAAATCCCAAAAGAAAAAATGAAAAGAAAATGATGGAAAAACAAAAAAACGATAAACGAATTTAAAATTGAAAAGAATGTAGTCAAGGAAAATGTTTTTCATTTGAAAACTCTACTACTTACTTACTACTAACTTACTTTGCAAGTAATAACTAATTTCCTCTGATCAGAGTTACAAACGCAATACGCAAATTATGCAAACGGTTGGTACACGCCCACGACCCCTAAAAAAGCACACACAGCCCCCACACACACTCCATCCAGCCCACATTGAATCATGGAAACATTCGAGAATTGTTCGTATTACAAAATAATAAAGAATAATGGAGCAAAACCGAGGAATTCCGTTTGAATTTTCTTTTCAAATCCGCATGATCATGCCGAGACAGAGAAGAGCAATTAAAAAACAGTTCAACAACAATAAATAGAGCATTAAAAAAACCAATTCGATCGGGACATTTTTTAAACCAAGCAAATATATTTAAAATTAGCATTTAACTAAATGACAACAAAAAAACGTAGGCTATAAACCGCAAATGTTAAGCACGAAAACTCACCCAACCCAACCTAAGACCCAACCCACAGTCCACATCCGAACCGAACCCAAACCAAACCTCCAAACCCTAAAGAACCCCTCCAAGTCTAACTACCAATTAAATTTAAATAGCTAATTGCATAATTATTAAACCGTTACCACAATTTCTGTCGAATGTCAAAAGCAAAAGTAACAAAAACAAAAAAAACACACAGAAAACAAAAACATAAAAACTTCCAACTAATTATGCATGTAATGAAATGGCGCAAAAAAGAAAGAAAACCCAAAAAATTAGCAAAAGTCTGTTGACGATAAGTATTATTGACAGACAAGTAAATTTCGTCACATTGACGATAATAATTAAGTGTAAGCGAAAACAAAGGAATTAAATGATTTAAATAATAAACAAAGTAATATTAAAAATCGAGAGAAATGATTGCGACAAACACACAAAAACTGAATAAAAATTTATTTTGAAAAGAGAAATCCTATCTTGTTTTATTGTTAAGTTTTAATTATAAATATAGTTTCAAATTTCAGCGGCGATAAATTTATCGAGTACATTGGTTCCAGATTCATTTCTGTTCATTTGAGTCAGTAGCACTTCGCTGCCAACACAACGCAGGCAACATTATTGCGACTTGTGACATGTACTTACTAGCCAATTTGGTTTAGAATTGTTTCATAAATCGGATTAAATTAAAGTGTTATCGCTGAGAGTCTCAACTAGCTGGTAATATTAATTTGAATATCAAAAGCGAAGAAAATGATGTAAGATGTATGATATATTTCGGTATATTTTTTGAGGCTCGTGCGGTATTTTTATCAACAAGTCTACGGCCGCAAAAGAAAACAAAACAAATACAAAAAAGCAGAAGAAACACACAAAACAATAAAAATCGCAGAATCTAACAATAATGGACCTGCGTAAATTGTGCAGGATCTGCTTTGATGGCAGCGCGAATGTGGATATCAACGTGCACAGGCCCAGCGACTGCCCGGAGCACACAGTCCTTGAGATGATGGACGCCACATTCCAAGAGGTAAGACACCAAGTCTGTGCGAGCAGATCGAATTAATGGATAATGGCTACTGTCCCACAGAAAATGGACCTCAGACAGCAGTTGCCAATGATATGCGCGACCTGCCTGGATAATTTCATGCAGATCTATGCATTCTCCATGAAGTTGAAGATGGCCAATCAACAGCTGCTTCAACTCTACATCCAGGCCCAAGGTAGCGAGATGTATGTGGTACACGATGGTGACCCAATCGAGGAAGGATGCTCCCTCCTGGAGCAAGAGCCTGAGATAGAGACAATAGTGCAGGCAGATGCACTCGACTTCGAGCCCACAGACGACGAGGGCGCATATATAAAAGAGGAGCCTCCACAGACAATTGACGAGTCTTCAGAGACAATAGACGAGAGTCCACTGCTAATAGACGAATCCCTAGAGATAATGGAAGAGTTTCAGTCCATAGTTCGCGAGGATGGGATTCCATCCAAGAAGCTGGCAAATCTAGATTCGTTGATAGTCTCCGAGTTCCTGCCCGTCACCACCAGTAAGCCCCTGGCCGAAGGAACCTCCGAAAGTGGTCTGCAGCAGTGGACAGTGGACTATGCGGCCGTCGAACTAAAGCGCAACGATCTGGATGATTACAACGAGACGAATCGCCGCCTCCACGTGGCCGAGCCGAGCGGCAGTCAGGCCATCTACAAGTGCAAGTACTGCCCGCAGGCCTTCACCTCCTCCCAGTATCTGAAGACGCATGTCCGCAAGTCACACGTCTGCAAGTACTGCACCTGCGCCTTTGCCAAGTACAAAGATCTCAACGATCACATACGCAACAAGCACCCAAACCATCCGTGCGTGGTCTGCACAAGCATCTTCAGCACCAGCAGATACCTCCGAGCCCACCTAAAGCGCGTGCACGGCGTCCAGCTGCCCGCTCAAGTGGCTCTCTTGGACTACAGACCCGCGAGCAGGACGCATTACACTCCAGATTAAAGTTAGTTTATTTGCCAAAAGATTTGAGACTTTTCCCTCACAGGATCACCCTTCTGCTGGTCAACTCCAGCAATGTACATGGGCGTGAACTCCCTGTAGGCTATGCAAACGCGTCGCTCCACCACATCCTCGCGCAACACGGAATGCTCAAACTGATAGCGCGCCGGCCCGTACAAAACAATCAGCGAGAGGCTAAAAAGAAGGGGAATTTAGCATTTAGCACACGCTCACCGTGAACTCGAGAGTCTTACTTTGGCATTGGTATGCGAAGCACCTTTCCCTTGAACGCCGAGAACTGTTCCTCGGGAAGCAGTGGCTCCAGCAGCTCATTCTCGTACTCGGCCACCATATCCAGGTTGTACTTGCCCGCCTGCTGCTCCTCGTAGACGGTGAGAGTGAGCACGGCATCGCCCAGACAGTTGACTGTCACCACACGCTCGCCCCAGATCCAGCAGTCGTCCACATGCGGATCTATGCTGGCCCCCTTGCTGGGCTCGTACTCCAGGGAGCACTGCTCAATAGTCTGGAAGTTGCGCAGCACAGGCACCTCATCGAAACGGCGCTGAACGTACTCCGTGCTCTTGGGGAAGCCGGAAAAGGTGCCAATTTGCAGCTTGCGCTTCTTGAAGTTCGTTTTGGGCCCAAAGTTCTGCTTTCGGCGTCCGCTCTGGGAGATGTCCCAGCGCAGTGCATCTAAGTCGGCTATCAACTTTGCGCCCTCATCCTTGCTGAGAAACTGTTCCTGCACCAGAACCCCAGGGAGTGGGAGACCCTTGACCTTGTCGTGCTGCTGGTGATCCACCTGAACCGCAGTCGTGTCCCAGCCGGAGTACAGACGTTCACACTGAATGCAATATGACCAGGGTTCCAGCTGTTGGAACTGTTCGTGCAGCGACGGTTTGGCTATTAGGAAGTCCTTCTCGCAGCTCAAACAGGTTCGTACGCCCTTGCAGCCGCATGGTCGAATTGTGTTCATTTTTTGACACAAAAAAATTGTAAATAGTTCTTGGTCAGCTGTTCCGCCAGTGTTGGAAAATCGAAAACTCGCAAACAAATTCTACATCGATAGAGAGCCACACAATGCAAGACATCGAAAGTGAGCGACACGATATTGGACATCGATAATTCTATCGACAGTTTCATCGCAGAAATGGGCGCGTAAAAAAAGCAAAAAGAAAACACAAATTCCACGTAATTTTTCTTAACTTATTTATTATTGTGTTTAGATGTATAGTGCTTGCAACAAAATACTTAGTTTAAACCTGTTTCATTCAAACAAATGCTGCTTGGTGATCAAATACTAATCGTGTTCCTCTCTCCCAGTTCCAGCTTCCTCTGCTACAATCTAACGGTGCTTTGGAACTGGCTCGAGTTTTTTTTTCCAATATGGAAAATAGTAAAAAAAAAAGTGCGACGCAGTACGGTCGATGCAATGAATCCTCGTCTCTTCTGTACAAATGGAGTATAAGGGTGATCAGTCTTATGCGCAGACACTAGGCGTGGCAGATCCAGCTGCAGTCGCCGGAAGCCATTTCGCTTTAGATCTTGAGACAGCTGCGGTGGCCTCCGTTACGTGCGTAGATCTCCTCGAAGGCGTGGATAAGCTCGTCCATGCCCTTCAGCAGTCCCTCCTCGCGATTTCCAGGAGTCCAGTCGCTGCGATGGTCTACACGCATTTGTGCAGGCAGTTGGCGGGACTTGGCAAAATCAATCAGCCAAGCGCCCACCCGCTCGTCGTCGTAAACAATGAATATGCTGGAGCCGACGATCTCGTGGCGGTTGAAGAACTCGGACTGTTCGACGACCAGACGCATATGCTTCAGGCGTTTCAACAGCTCCTTCTGCACGGACTTGCGGGCGCCAAGGAACTGCTCGATGGTCTGAGAAATCTGTTCGCTGCTGCGGCAGGTCTTCAAATCCTTGACGGGAGCACGACCACGCAGGCGGAGCGCCTCGATGCGGAAGCCCTTGGAGTGTGAGGAGGAGAGCGACTCGCGGAACATCATGTAGCGCAGCTTGGTGATGGCCCGCGCCTCGCTCTCGGCCGCCGTCGGTGCGCTGGGGTCCACGGCAATCATTTTCTGGTACAAGTCCGGCCGAAGCGTAGCGTTGCTCACCTCCGACTCGAGAAAGGTGCGGCTGCCCATCTTGATGTCCATTACGCAGGGATCTTTGAAGCCGGCCAGCAGATCCTGCAGCTCGATGTAGTGCTGCGACTGCATCTCCCGCATCCCAAAGTACGCGGGCACAATCTGAGATGTTTGTGGCTCCTGGCAGAGTTGGCGATAGGCGTGCACCTCGCTGTCATCGATGCCAACGATGCGCTTCCGCACAATGCCCGTCGACATGGGCACAATGCTCTCTGGATGGCCGGATAACTGCATCCAACCCTGGGGCTTGGCTTGTTGCTGCTGGAGGAGATGGGGAGTGGCGGGAGCGCTCAGTTCCAGGGCATTCTGCAAGAGAGGAGAACAAAATGGGTAAGTGAAAAGAATTCATTGATAAAGTCAAGATATGGGGTCCGCTCTGTCCGGCTGCGATTCGAACTGGTTCTCTCTTCCATCATTATGGTATTCTCATGATTATAAATAATCAAACAAATTTTATTTGCTTTTGCTTCGGAGAGGGAGCCACGCCCCGGGCCCTCGTAAATGCAAAATTTATGCGACCCGACAAGCAATCGCACATTGTGCGAGGTTGCAAGCAGGAAGCAGAGGCGTTTTATCGTTGAATCGCAGCCATGTGGAAAGTTTCGGCCCTGCTCCTTGATGGGTGTTTATGGGAAATACAATTTAAATGTCGGTACTTACAATGGCCAAGAACTTGAGCAATGACATCTGTGGTGTTTGCTGAGCAGGAGCTTGTGTTTGTTGCTGTGTGTGTGCCTTGGTCTGTGCCTGAACTTGAGCCGCTCTTTGTAGACTCAAATAGTCGGCCAAGTTGTCGCAGGGAATCTGCAGCTGCAATCAAACAGAGGGGAATTGGGTATTGTTAGAAGTGTTGTGTTGTGGAACTGATTCACTCAAGTCTTAATAAATTATTCAGTCAGAATGCAGGCGAAATATTTCGATCGTTTTGTTTGTGTATGGGCTGGCTCTTGGTTTATGGGACGTCGTGTGTGGTTTACGACACTGCCGTGTCCCTAATGAGGCACTTAGTATGCAAAGATCGTTGTTGTTTCTGTTGCTGTTGCGAATTGAGCCATAAGCATTGGCCATAACAAATAACATTCTGTCAGCGTAGAAGGCGATCGGTTAGACCGGACCACTGGCCCCCATACGAGTAAAATAGTCGCCCCATCACCTCTCTACGCTACGCTTTGATTAATTAACTAATTAAGGTAATGCGCTCGGAACTTGTTTTGTTTCGCAGCATCTTATATAGCTTTAGCTTCAGCTTCTGCTTCAGCTTTAGCGCTATCTCTGCACTATTATCATATCGCTTAAGTGTTCAGATAACGCTGCGTATTTCTGCGGCAGTCAAGTCCTTCCTTCTCTTGGGTTAATAACACTCCGCTGCCCCAGCGATCTTTACGTAAGCGTACATTAAGAACATAACAAATTTGCATATGTGGCACAAATTCGTCACGCGTGCGATGAGAAGGAGGGTAAGCAGGGGAATGAGTACAGTGAAGACCCCTTCTCAGGGTCAACGTGTTGCTTATCAGCCTTCTAGCCAGGTTCTCGCATGATCTTGTGCTTATCATTTGTATGGCATGTGTGCCTGAGCCTTAGACAAATGTTTGATTATAGATTGAGATATTGCGCAGTCGGGCATTAAATTTGGATTAGAGCAGCACCCCCCGGGGGAACATGTGTACTATGTTTATTCTTTGACCTCTGCTCTCACATTGCTCTCAGAAAATGTATTAATTAGTCGCTAGTAAGATGTCAGATTTGGTTAAGCGTCAAATTGCACTTGGAGGGGGCATATCGAGTTCTATTAACCAATATTCGAGGTACGCTGCTCGGGCGTGTCGTCAGCACTGACCTTTGTGGAATGATACGATCCTAACGGTCGGACGTTTAATTATAGAAAACTGCAACTACTATCTATCAAACGATCGATCGATCGATCGATCGATCTATCGACGTGCAGCAAGTCCGTCCGTCCGCTGTTCATTGAGTACTCGTTTTACAACTGCATTTTACAACTGATTCGAATCGGAATTGGAGGAGCGGAGAGTGTGAGGGTAACCCCGTTCAGAAACGTACATTTTTGCACGTACAACCCATTGGGGTGACACGGTTTAATTAGCATTTAAACTTTAATTTGGTTTTAGTCTTAGTTTTAGTTGCGGAATGCGTCACGGCATGGGAAACTCAAGGAAAAATTATTATTCAACTTTTATATGCAATCGTAATCGCATTATTAACAATTTACCACTCGTGTGCGCTGAAGGAAAAGCGGTCTGATCAGGTCAGGGAAAAGCAACAGCAACAGCAAGCAGCAAGCAGCATCCATCAGATAAACATTGTGACAGTTCCCGTGATGTAAAAAGAGGGAAACCGCAAAGTGTGCAAAACAATTATTAACCTGCAACAGTGATGGCAGGCAGTATGAGTGTATGGCTGTAAAATTACAGCACTTTTCGCTTGAGTGATTTCGATGAGTCGGATCGAAGTAGGAGGCGACTTTCCAGACCCTGGGCTATTTTTAGGCTGCCTGCCTTCTCCGATTCACCGACTCGACAATCCGTCGATTCACCAATCCAATGTTTAGCTAAGCTCACAGTTTAGTGGTGTTTATTTATGACTACTTAACATTTGGAACGTGTTAACCGACAGAAACAGAAACAGAAACAGCCGCTGCAAACGGAAAACAGCAACAACAAAAAACTGACATAAAAACTTTGCTCAAATCAATTTATGCGCGTGACGTCAAAGCCCCCGCTCTGGAGAGGGGCGGAGGAGAGTGTCGCGTTTAATTAAACAAAATTGTAAAATTCAAACTGCCGAAAATTGGCTAGAGTTTGAGTTGAAAGTTGAGAGATTGAGGTCCAGCCTAAAGGCTTGCGAGACCCTGAACCTGGGATTCGTGCGTACAACAACTTGCCCCAAAAAACAGGTTCTCCTCGCTGAGATCGTGCCTCTGGAGGTGACTCAGGTGCAGCCTTTTCCAGGTCCAGGTGGTGCTGCTGGTGTGCCGCTTTTTGTAGAACACAACCCTGACATTAAAAATTACTATGGAAGGAGACAAAAACAATCCTCTAGAAGTGTCTGCAAGAGCGGAGACCTCGCCAGAGAGTGGACTGGATGGGAATGGGACTTGGACTGCGACTCAGACTGAGACTGGGATGAGTATACGGTATACCGTACCATCGGTATATAAGATAGTCGCAGTCGTTTGCTTGGGGGTATATGAATGTATATATGAACGTATGTATACATAGTATGTATATTTGCATTGACGTCAATCTACTGAAACGAGGAATGAATGAAGAGGGGGCACGGCTCGAAGGGAGAGAGGGAGGGAGTGAGTGTGGAAACCAGTTACGTTAAGACATAACGCAAAAGGCCAGGCCATTGGCAGAGGATTAGATCCGTTAAGCATGTCCAAAGGGAACCAGAGGAGAGCGGAGGGAGAAACTATTCCTAAACTATCAAAAGCCTTAATCAACTCAAGAATTTTCACACTCTCTCGAGTCTCGAGACGTTGCCCCTGCGCCATTAATCTGCGTCGCAGTTCTGTAAGGAAAGGTCCCAAAGCCGAAACTCAAACCGGATCCGCTATAGACAGCCGTGGAAATGCGTCAATATGCCTTTCCCTGTAATGCATTGATTGGTTCGGCCAGAGCCCGTGAATCACAGCCGTTGGCTGCGAAAGTTCGGACACCCATGGGACCATCATGTGACTAATCCCAAACCCAATCCCAAGCGACAAAAACCAGATGGAGATTCGGATGGAAGATACAGAATAATATTCGGGGGAATAACCGGGTGCTTAACAGAGAAACTAGACTAGATCGAATGAATGACCCAAAGTTTTGGGGGACAACCTTCGCTGACTGGGCCTTGATCTTAGAGAGCGAACAAATTAAAATTAAAGCTGGCAAAAATTAACCAATGATAGCTCTGGGGCTGAGGCTGAACCTGAGTCAAAGTGTGTGGGCCGATGCACTTGAGCAGCGTCGAGTGTTGGCAATACACTGTGAGAAATGTGTAGAGTCAATAAACCCCAGATGACAGAACAAGGAAAAGTGGTTTCGAGTTATCAAAAAGCTCTAAAGACAGGCGGACAGCTGCTGTGCTCGAAATTTGACATGCACTGAAGAAAAACTTCCTGTCGCAATGCCCAAAAGAGGGATCTCTGTTGCCCGAACCTCAACGAATCAATTGTCTTTAATGAAGTGAAATGAAATGAATCGATTCGTTTGTCCATGTAGCTAGACCATGTGACCAAATGGATGCCACATCCATAGCCCATGTCCGATGTGTGATGTGTCTTGTGTCTGCCTCTCATAACCGGCAATGTCCGGCTCTGACTGCGGACTCTGTCTCTGGTCTCCGATATCTTGTTGCTTGTCTTTAATTAGCGCAGACTCGTTGCTCTATGCAAATTGACGTTACGTGGATTATCGGACTCATTTTCGACCCACAGACAGACACAGACCCACGAGTACTACGAGCACGGGTATACGGACTTATTGTTGCTGCAGATCCGCTCGAGATACGAGCAATGTTTACAAGCCGCATTCCTGGCCAAGGCCTGAAGGTGCTGAAGTTTGCTGAAGTTGCTGTAGGGGTGACTGGGTTGGGTAGGCCCCACAGTTGTTTCAACAATAAATAAAACTCCCCGCAGACGTCATGCCTGGACCAATAACCATACCCCTATACCTCTATATATCTTTCTCTCTTTTATTTTTGGCCACTTTCTCTGTAGTGTTGCTTTCTACGCGGATGTGGATGGACAAGACAATCCTCCACCACCATCGTTGCCATTGACGTCATTGTCTTTTTGTCTGTCTGTTGGTCTGTTGGTCTGTTGGGTTGTCGGTTGTCGGTTGTCTTTTGTGGTTCGAGAGTATTACAAGCTTTCTTTCTGTCGGACACTCACCTCATGGTTATTATTGTTGGATTTCGATTGCTTTTGCCTTTGCTGTTGCTGCTGCTGCTGCTCCACATCCAACATGATGTGGTGTGCATTGTGCTGCTTCGAGCTGGCGCCCGTATCCAAGGCAATTAGTTTCCACAACTGCTTCAGCCCAATGTTATCGATGCATGAAAAGCGCATTTTCGTCTCATTCGACCAGGCCATTGTGGAGCGGTTGCCGGAGGAGGGTTTCGTTGGCTTCGTTACTTTTGTGACAGCTGCCGCCTGCTGCTGCTGTTGCTGTTTCGGTGACGTTGCTGCTGCTGGAGGCCGCTGGAGCACTGTTGAAGTCATAGTCATTCAGTCGGAGTTATCGCCTCACGCCTCGCGAGAGTTTGCACAACGAATGAATATTATTTCACTGGGTTTTGATTTGCTTCTTGCTTTTGCCTTTGCTTTTGTGGCGTTTTATGATTTGGATTCTGATATTTTCACGCTTTATGCTTCCATACACTTTGGCATTTTGCTGCGTTCTCCTTTCAATTGATTTTCACTCGCAATTTGCATTGGAAACTTTTTTCTTATATATTTATCTAACTTTGATTTTGCATTGCTTGCTGTTTGCTATTTGCTGCTTGCTTTTGCTTCTTTATCTTTCTGGCCCGTTAAGAGTCTTGCTTTTTTTTTTGTTTTTTGCTGCGATCGCGCACAACGACAACGACTGCCGTAGAGAAATCAGAGAAGTTTGCGTTTGCTGTTGGAGCTCTGAGGGGCGACTAACTGGTTTCGCCATCTGGCATCCATTTTTGTGCGCTGACGAGTCGCCGAGTCGAGTCGTCGTCGTTGTCGAGCGAGTGCTCGGAATTGTGGGGAGCCGATCGGAGCGGCGCTCTCCGAGTGGATCCAGAGAGCGTGGGCAAGAGAGAAGCTTTTCGAAGAGAGCCCAACACACTAGCTGCTGAGAGAGAGCAACGATCAATATCAATCAATCAGATGCATCTCATTTGGATTTAAATATTTCTAGCCCAAATCGCAGGAGATCCATGGAGATGGAATCGTTCTGAAGGTGTAAAGATTGCAATCTATTATTTAAAAGTTCCCTGAAAGTCATAGAGAATATAATAATCTTTAGCATCAGTACCCCAGTGAAATCTATATTTAGATGGAAAAGTACCAAATCGGAGCGTTTTTTACAAAGAGATTTACAATTAGATGCTGGCGATAGGAAAGTGATCCCCAAATTGAGTTCCCTACGTAGCCAATGTGGAATTCTCAATTAGATTGCGATCTGTTCTACGCAATCGAGAGGGCTCGTCGAAGTGCGATCACAACAATTGACTTGTTTGTTTAGAAATTCGCATTACCACAGAAAGGGAAAACAGAAAACAAATGGAACTGAATACATTTTCAAAGTGGAATTCATGAAATCCTAGAACAACAACCAACCGGGCGGCCATGCGATGCGCAAAAGAATCTTCTGAGAGAAGAGTCTTCCAGAAGGACAAACAGAACAGAACACAGCAGAACACACTGACAGACAGATGGAACGATCTCGTGGCGCCATCTAAGGTCAGACATTGAACCGTTGCCCTCCTCTTCGTCTTCTTGAAGATGTCTCTTTTGGATCTCTCTTTTATCGGAGCTGTTGTTGAACTTCTGCGAGTAGAGATTCCCTGGGGCTTATCTGCAATGCTAATGCCTGCCTGCCTGCCTGCCTGGCAGGCAACTGCGCAATGTCTTGGGGTCTTTCGGGTGCGATTATGCAAACTGTCGCCAAAAATCTGCGCCAATTTCTGCAGATCCTCCACCATTCCAACCCCTGGGTTCATGGCCAATGGCCAACACAGAGAGAAAAAGGAGAGTGAGTGCAATATGCGCATATTTTAGTATGGCTCGATGTCGATGTCGATGCTGCTGTCGATCGAGACGAGATGCGTGCGTCAGTCTGACATACAAACCTCGAGTTCGAGTTGCAGTCTGGAGTCGTCTCTCCTCCTGCCTCGAACAGAGACTCTGAGACAGAGACTCCCCAGAGACTACGTCAGAGACAACCCAGACGACAGTTCGTCAGCATGTCAGTCTGTCAGTCTGCCCGTCTGTCAGTTGTGTGTCCCATTGTAATGCAAACCCCAGAATGGTAATGACTCGCCATCGGGTTTGGGTTTGGTTTCGGGTTCGCGGGAAACTGTCGCTCGAAATGCATTGAACCTGGTCACTGGTCGTCTGCATGCAACGTGGCACATGAGTAATAATTGCTAACGAGGCACGTGACCACTTGCCACCTCAAGCCTCAAGCTTCAAGCAAAACAAAACCATCAATTGCAACTGGAACGATAAATGCTACTTATTCTTGAGCAATTAAAAACAAAGTCGACTGGCAGGCAGCAGCCTCGCATAATGCAAATACGAAGCAGAATGAAGTCAGGGCCGAGCAGAGGGGGTTGATCTATAGACACAACCCGCTGTCCGGCCCTTGCTCATTGCATTGCTGGGGCTGCCCATCAATTAAGCTAAATTATCGGCGTCTCGCAGCTTCATTCAAATGGCACTTCCCTTCGTCTTTCCAATGTATTCCACGAATAATCATCATCATACAGCAGTAGTCACTCTGCGGTGATGTGGAAGCCCATGATCAGAAAAGCCCCAGATTCCCAGAGCCGTCGTAGGCCCTGACGTCAAACGTAAAGTTTTGCGTGAAATTTCTTTGTGATGGAAAGAGGCAGAGGAAAGAGGATTGGCTTTCTGCACGCCTCAGTGGTCAGTGGCATGACCACGAGACAAAGACAAAGGAAAAGACAAAGATCGACATCGAAGCACGGGTTTAAGACAAAGAATCTCCTCCGGACAACGGACCAGCGGGCGGCGGCGCCTCCTCCCATGTGTCGGACTTTTGTACTCCCGTCATTCTGTTGTGGTTGTTGCTGCTGCTGCTGCTGTTGTGTCACTTTTGTGCTTTCGATTGACGCATTTGAGTGTCACTTGACTTTTTTAATCTCGCGACTTTATCGTAGCTGACTGGCCGGCACTGGCTCAGAATCGGTTTCGGCTTCGAAATCACTTTGAATCGCGATCGCGCTCGTCATATTTCTGTAACTTAATATTATGCTTCTCAGGTATGAGTTGTGGAAGAGCTTCCACTCTGAAACTCTGACGCTTCACTGGCTCCAATTCCGCTTACGCGTACGATCCTCCTTCTCCTCAGCTGAATGTTGGTTTAGATTTCGATCATACTCCACACAGAATGTTTGGTTTGTTATAATTTTTGCCAACCGATCGCTCGCTGGCTCGCTCGCTCGTTTTTAAATTATAACTCAATGACTTTCCTGACGTCACAGTATTAAGCTCTCGAGTCAACAAAACGCAAAGCAAAAACCAAAAAAAATATACAGAAAAAACTACAACAAGTGTTCCTCATTAACATGTTCTCCATGTATACAAAATAGTGTGGGAGTGTATAGCCGATGATCTTCATGCATACTCGTACAGCGAGAGAACTTGTAGACGAAACACAAAAGAACTGCTGGGAAAATGGCCATCAAAGTATGGAAATGTGGGATAAAAGGAAAAACTATACATCAAAACAGTCGCTGAATTTATAAACTCACATTTGTCGAAGATCTGACTATCGTGGTTTTACGGTTTCCCTTATCTCTGTTGAACTTAGTTTGAGGTTTAATGTTGAACCAAGCGCTTAACCACTTGTAATCGTACTCTTGTGTGCTAGTCATATCTCAACCCCAATCTAAATATGTCATCAGTTTGTAAACCACTCTGTGGTTTCTCCCCAATGGCAAGAGTCTAGACAGAACGGAGTCCAAATGGGATAAACCCCTAGCAGATTTTCCATTGAATGCAGCGTCAAGTGAGGTTGGTCCATGCAGTTCCAGGACAGGAAACGAAAGCCATCAAAATTGTTTGGAAAACTTTCCTTGATATACATACATAAAAAATGATTAATTGACTGATAATTGTATATATTGTATGGTCTGACATCGACAACGTCACGATCTGAGAGCGCTGAGAGATGCTGATAAGTCGGGGAATGTGGGGATAACGTTTTCTGATGTAAAGATAACGTTTTCTATGTAAAGAAAAAGTATCCTAAAGGGGTATTGCAATCTCAAGAGCACTCAAAGAGTGTTTCTCCAAGGCAATCGATATGAAAACTCACCAGTTGTTCTTCTACTGGAGCCTTCCCATGGCAACAGAACGAGGCGAATCCCTCTAAGAATGCTTTCATTTGTAAGCTGATAGCAGAGTTTGTTTTGAGCACTCCTCTGGGGGCTATCAACCTGCTAATTTGTGCCGACTGTCATTAGGTTTGTGAATGATTTTTTGCCAACCTAAAAATAGTAGTGTCGCCTCCATCCACTCCCCACACAAACATGTGAATGGCGCGAGCCTCGCTATCTCTTATCTACTGCTGGACACAGAGATCGAACTGGGGATCACAACCGAAATAAAACGCTCGACTGCCAACCGCCAACCGAGTGCAGGGCACAAACAGCAATGAAATGGCAAAAAATAAAATCTAACAGGAGAAACAATTTGCTGGCCCGAGGAGTGAGTGTAAAATTAGAACCTGGGCAAGAAGCAAACAAACGAAACGAAAACGATAATAAATATTTATGTGCGTGTAAACAATTTGATTGATTCGAGCCAAACGATCTGAAACGGAGATGAAAACAACGGCTGTCTTGTGTTCTTCTCGCTTCAAGCGCTTCGTTAACGCAATCGTAACGAAAGGAATTTCGTTTGCAATTAAGACCACAACATCAAGAAAATCTACAGAGCGGAGAATGATCATTAACGTACTACGAGTAGGAGTACTTTCTTTGTCAGCATTATGTCATCGTCTGTTAATTTTTGGCAAAACAAACAGATCTCGCTCTGATCTCTGATCTCGCAGATCGTTTGAAGTTTTGTTTAGCACATGGATTGTGGATTGGCTTGTTGCTAATTGGGATGTGATCGGAAATGGTTGCCTCGCAATCAAATGGCCAGAAAGAAGGGCAAGCAGCAGTGCCCCCCTGCAACAGAACGGAACAGAACAGAAGAGCCACGTTCCTTCCTAAGAGATCTATGGACGGAGAGACGAACGTGTTCGATTTCGAGTGCAAAATCAATTTGCGTCAATTGCAGCTAAAGATTAGCCTCGCTCTAGTTTCGAGCGCGAATGCGAACGTCCACATAAATCAACGCCTGATAATAAATACACACCACATCACACATCGTGGCAGAAAAGACAACAGCCTGCTCTCCGGGGGGGCCTTTGCCTGGAAACAATACATTGGATTCATCTCTGGTGCGTTGGATCATCTCTTATCATTCAAAACAATTTGGGTTTACAACAAAATTATGCCAAAAATAGACCCCATTGATCGCGTCTGATGATTCGGGCAGGGACAATACAGTTGTTGCACTGCCAGCTGGCTTTACTGTTGCTCGTGACGCAAATCGAGCCGGTGCACCGTTATGCGGTAGGTTTATTTATAAGCCATATGCCGAAAATAACCCAACACGAGTAACAAATTCCCAAGCCCTCATTCTCAGGCGTTGTCTGTCGACGAGTGCATTTGCACCAGGGAATCAATCTGAGAATCAGCGAATCTGGGAATCATCCCAAACGCCTGACTGCCAGCCAGCAGCCTGCAGCAGCTGATTCAGAGCGCCACTGACATGCCGTGCCGGGCCGTGCAGGGCCTTATCGGGCCCCGACATCGGAACCATAATTGTGTAATATATTGTCAGACGCGCGAGACGAGATACGCGACACAGAAAGTCTCTCTCAGGCACGGACACGGGCACGTGGCATGCAAATGAAGACGGCGGCGAAATGCCCGCTGAATATCATTAGAAAGATTTTGGTCAGCCTTGGCCAAAATTCATATAAAATGAAACAAAACCAAAACGAGCAAAACGAACAAAAAAATCCAATTAATTAAATCCATGCGAACTTAAATTCAGGGAAAATTTATGGCTCTTACAGTTCCATTGAATTTAAATATTTGCACGGCCCTCAAAATCACAATTGCTCGTAAATATTATGCTAGAACAAATATTTATGGCTATGGTTGGATTCTGGATAAAACCCCCAGAATCTGTGTGGGAACCAAGTCAGAACCAACAGGAAGTTCTAAACTGAATTAACAATCAAGAGCTGTGTGAATATAGTTGGGGATTAGTAGGTTTAGTTCAAGGAGGGAATTATAGGGATTGCCTAAATGGGCATGACTTATATTCTGAGTACTTATATAAATATAATTGAATATAATGTAATTCAAGCAGCTATAGGGAATGCCTAAATGTATATGCCATGTGCCAGATTTGCTGATTCATAATGCGTTTTCATAATCTAAATATGTTTTAATTTCCGTGTGCCATTTCTAATCAATGTTCCGGAGCACACAAAATATCAAAAAATCGAATGCAGACTGAACTCTAGCTAAAATTATACGTGTTAACATAGTTGTGTTTAGTTCAAGTTTAATTTAAGTTTAGTTCAAGGTTCGCTATGGGGAATGCCTGCTCCAGCCGTAGATACAAAAAGTTCTGATGATAAAATATTCTCTTTTTGCTGATTCATTTCTCCTAAATAATTTCTTCGGCTTAATTTCCGTGTGCACATTTCTAATCAATGTTCACACAAAATATCAAAGATCGTATGCAAAGACTGAACTCTAGCTAAAATAAGAAGTGTGAATATTGTGGGGATTCGGAAGTTAAGTTGGAGGAACTATAGGGAATGACTGTCCCAGCTGAAATATTCCTAATTTGCTGATTCATTTCTTCTTAATTATTTCTTCGGTGTATTTTCCGTGTGCACATTTCTAATCAATGTTTCAAGTGTTCACAAAATACCAAAAACGAATGTAAAGACTGAATTCCAGCAATAACTACAATAAACAACAATAAATATTCCACCCAAAAATCGTTAGCCCTAGTGTAGGAGGAGAACTAATAATAGTTTCACAATTCTCAATGAGATCTTATCACTTCCCCGATGATCTAGACACATTAATTACTTACTCTTGAGTGTTGCTGGCATTGTACCATGATAAGGCTAAGGAGAATCGTGAAAATCAAAATAAAACAAATTGGTAATCTGAGGCGCGACACTTGAGGCGAATCAGCTGACAAAAATACGAATATAGAAATTAAGAAAAAACCCAGTCGCAATTCTAAGTTCAGGGAGGGAGGAGGGACACGGACACGGACAATGACATTTGGCATTCCAGCAAAAAGGAGACGCGACCTGAATATCATATTATATCGCGTTATAGTTGAACGGGTGGTGTGCAATAGCTGTGGTGGGTGGCTGAGTACTTTGCTTAGACCAGATAACAATAAACTCATTAACAAGTCGTGGGGAAAACAATAACAATTACGGCTGTGGGTCAGCCAGTCGGGGAGCAGTAGCGAGAGTAGGAAGTATATTTGCTATAAACAATTTCCTCCTATTCATATTTGAGAAGCTTATCGCCCGAGTGCCTCGGAAGCAAACTTTATGGATAGGCAAATAAATGTGTGGATAATTGTTTTTCTCTATTCTGTTCCAGTTGGGGGCGTGTGATCAAAACAACTGAATCAATGCACACACAAACACGGATACCGAGAGGTGAAAGTACTCCTCCCATGATGATTTCTGTTGATTGTGGATTTTACAACTTAAGGGCGTGTGTGGATTGCACAGGAATGCCATTAGGGCGGTACTCTCATGGACTATATATACGGAGAACAACTCAGGTTAGACACAAAAGTATTTAAAACTATAGCTAAAACCTTTATTCCTTCATTCGATTTCAGACATGTCTGCAGCAGAGTCTCCGCCTCCTGTGTATACGGTTTATTTTGAGGACTATCTCAGGCCAAAGAAACACCAGAAGCAGGCACATCTGCAACATTTTAGGAGGCCAGTGGGTAAAATCTCAGCGGCAGCCAGAAGACTAAAGCGTCTCAAGATACTCCGGTGGCACTCGAGAATTATTCAACGCTTTCAGCAGCTGCCTTTGCCTAGTTTTCTGGGCTTTCTGCGTGCCCGAAAGGATGATGGCCTGTGCAAGCGCAAAACTGGCTTTGAGATCTACTGCGAAATGGCCAGCATCCACGGTTTTCATGTGTTTGTCGGTGCTGAAACCTGGCAGCGTATTTTCTGGTGGCTTTTGATTTGTACTGCGGTGATTCTGTCCAACGTTATCCTGCTCACGGCACCCAAAAAGGGGCCCACCATTCATTATATAGACAGCATGATGAAGCCGAGCTCAGAGATTCCCTTTCCGGCAGTCACAATGTGCTCTCTGAATGCAGTTTCCAAGGAAAAGCTACAGAAAAGAGCCAAGGAATTGCAAGTGTCGGAGGAAACGCTGAGGAATGGAGCCTTGGAGGAGCTGTCTCAAACTAATCTCACATGGTTGCGCCTTCTGGAGGATCTGGCTCCCCCAATCTGTGAGCAGATCCAAAGTTGCAAGTGGGAGAATCGCCTAGAAAGCTGTTTGGGTGACCTGAAGCCTCTGTGGACCTTTGATAACCGTCTCTGCTGCAGTTTTAATCATCAACAACTTCGCTACACTTCACAGTTGGGTGTAAGGATAGTCTTAGATCCACGAAAAGATGACTACGCTGCCTGGAGAATTGCATCCCATGGCTTTGAAGTGCTTATCCATGAATCCCGAACGGTAACAGATGCTGCCACCATGAGGATTCTAATACCAAGTGGTTCGGACACTCACCTAATGGTGCGACCGTTTTCCACGCGTTTCACATCGAATCTGGCAGCGCTTTCCATCGAGCAACGTCGCTGTTTTCTGCCCGATGAGCGTCGTATGTGGTTTTACTCCACCTACAGCCTAGCCAACTGCCTTTCGGAGTGTCGAAGCAGAAAAATCCTTCGTTCCTGCGGATGTGTACCGCCCCATGATCCCGGGGAGAGCCATTGGCCCATTTGCGACTTCAAGCAAGTGCCGTGTGTGCGGGCGTATGGTAAGTGAATACAAAAGTAAAGCTTATTGATTGATTTCCCACTTAACAGATGACATAAGTGAGGAGATTACGTCGGTGGAGAGCGACTGCAATTGCCTGCCGCCGTGCAAATTTCATCGCTATGAATTCGAGAGTGATGTGAGTCCCATACAGGGACCCAATTCCTCGAATGAGGTCCGCCTGCAGGTCTACTACGATCTGGCAATTAGCGAAGAGCTGCTTTTGGGCGTATACGAGACCTGGCTGGCATTCATAGGCAAGTATCCAAGTATCCATATTCCATTAACGAAACGACCTACAAGAAGCCATATTAAAGTGTCATTCATCCATAATGGGCAGGAACCTTTGGCGGCGTAAACGGCCTATTTATGGGCTGCAGTTTCGTGTCGGTCTTCGAGCTAATATTCTTTACGTGTGTGCGCCCCACTTGCAACTGGCTGACGCGCCAGCAGATACTCTGGCGACGACGCAGGAAACAGGCTAAAGTGGGCCTCTCTCATTAGCGTTGGTCGGTAATTAAGTGCGTGAGGAATCGCGACGAGCCGTCGCGGCAACAGTCATCGGGCAGAGGTCAAGCGGTAGAGATGGCCTTCAAGAAGCGACGCATCTTCGATCTGCGGCAAGTGCAGGCTGCCCAACAGCTGGCCGCCTCCAGTCGTACTGATCCCTCAAAGCGATCTAATCCTCACAGTCTAAAGCCCATCCATCGCTTCCGCCAGTTTGGCGAGTGGTTCAGCGATAATATGCGCAACTATTGCCAGACCACGTCGCTGCATGGCTTCAGCTACATCACGCGGCAGGACATCAGCCGGAACGAGCGCCTTTTCTGGCTGATTGTTGTCATTCTGTCCATCATTACATCGATTGTGCTGGTCGTTGTCTCGTGGCAGTGGGCACGTCAGACGCCCACGGTCACGGTCATCGAGAGCTCACACTTTCCCACCTGGAATATACCATTCCCAGCCGTGACCATTTGCAATTTCAACAAGATCTCAAAGCTAAAGGCAATCAACTTGCTGCAGCAAATGTAAGTACATAAATATCTTCGATTTGTATAAGACTTTTATGAACTTTCTGCTCTGTTTAGGCAGGTTCCTGCTGGTGTCAATCGATCGGAGCTGCACAGTCTTTTCAATCTCACTCTCTTGCCAGTGGACAATATGATCAGCAACAGTTCGCTGCAGATTTATGATAGGATTTTAAAGCTAAACAATATCACACTCACAACACTGACGTCACAGCTGTCGCCGGACTGCATTGACATGATCTCCAGTTGCATCTGGAAGGGCATCAACACGCGCTGCGACAGTCTGTTCCAGCGCATCGAGACAATGGAGGGACAGTGCTGCAGCTTCAACTATTTCGGAGGTGTAACCAATAATTTCCCAGAGAAAATTGCCTATCAGGTGCCAAAGCGCCCGTATCGCGTCACTGGCTGTGGCTATCCCACGGGTCTGACTGTTCTACTCAGTCCCATGGCCTCTGATTACTACGGCACCTTCTTCAGCGGCTACGGTTTCCAGCTGCTGCTCCATGATGCCTACAACTTTCCGGATGAGAACTCAGAGACTAAGGTTGTGACCTCCACGCGTGAGAGCTTCGTGCGCATCAATCCAGAGTCGACGTATGCCACAAACGACATTCGCCGCATGGACTTGTCCCTGAGAAATTGCCTATTTGGCAGCGAGCGAGAGATGCACGGACTGAAGCGTTATTCCTTCATCAATTGCATGTTCGAGTGCAGGGTTTTCATGATCCTCGGTCTCTGTGGCTGCATTCCTCCCTACGTTCATAACAACGGCAGCTTCAAGGTATGCGATGTGCTGGATGCCAACTGCATGATACAGGGCAAGCGTAGGTTATAGGTATGCGTCTCCCTGTAGTCCAAACACTAATCCACTCTGCTCCTCTTTAGGTCTCTTCTCGCATGCTTTGGCGAATCTAAATCTTTCGCTGTCGATTGTGCGTGAGACGAGCAGCTTCCCCTGCGGCTGTCTGCCCGATTGCCAGTCGAATCATTATGTCTCCGAGAGCACAATGGGCAGACTGGATGTCAGCTACTTTGCCAATCGTCCAGGCAGCAGGTGAGTCTAGGGACCCACCCTACTTGGTAGCAGAATTCATAGATTCATTTCGTTTTAGCAACGACACGGACAGAATTCTGTTGCATGTATTCTTTAGTGATCTGATGAGCACCAGATATCGCACAGACATCTTCCAGAACTGGCTATCCGCCTTGGGTGAGTTAAAATGAAGCCTAAAAAGTCCCTAAATATATTCCCTGATATATTCTATCTTTTGACAGCTTCATTTGGTGGTTTGTTGGGTCTAATTATGGGCTTTAGCATTGTGACAGCCTTTGAGTTTCTTTACTTTCTGACCTTTCGACCCATATTCAACTACATCAACCGTGATTAGAGGGAGAGACACCTCCCTCACTGCACACTGCACACTCCACCCACCTCTTGACACGCTTTAATTAGAGCTCTGATTGATGAGCAGCACTCACAGCACTCGCATCGCTATAAATTGACTGAGAATCGAGCACACTTCAGGCACTACGCATCACGAAAATGACTCAAGTGGAGTCCCGCTCCAACTATAGCCGCCTGTTCAAGGAGTTTCTGCGCCAGAGCTACATCAATGGACTCCATCCGTTCATTTACCCCACTCCCGTTCGCTATGCCAAGTGGGTGAGCAAAATGCATCTAAATCGAATCAAGAACTAAGTAGAAACTTATTTGCAGAGCACTCTGGCTGGTGCTGATGGCGGCCATTGTGGTGTGGACACACGTTGTTATTGTCAATCTCACATTGGAGTATCTCGACCAGCCAACAGAGATTCATATGGCCCCCGATCTGGTGCATGTGGCCAACAGCCCCTTCCCTGCCGTTGGCGTTTGCACCTCAAATAAGATCAGCCAGCGTCTGCTGCGGAGCTATGCCATCGAACTGTGAGTATCCTTTATTTAGTAATCTCTCAGCGTTAGATTTAGTTGAAGTAGCCCAGGCTCTTGATCTCAGAGACCATGGCCACGATCGAGTCGAGGAGCTCCTCGCTGGCAGGCACAATCTGTTCGGCTGGCAGCTTGAAGCCGGTGATGAGGCTGTTCGAGGAGGGACGCAGTTCGTAGCAGAAAGACATGCGCACATCCTGAGTGCCGTAGGCCCAGTCCACGCTAGCGCCAGCCGCTGGGTAGATAGCATCGTAGATGTTGCCTCCGGTGTATTTGGTGCCGTAGCGCTTGTTCACGGCGGCAATGGACACGTCGTAGACCTTCTTGAAGTCTGCGACGTTGTCGGGCAGATCCCCGGTGTGTCCATAGGGGTAGAGCAGATACTGGGAGTAGGCGTGCAGGGAGATGTACAGCTGGATCTTGCCCTTCAGCGAGGCAATGTACTGGGACAGGGAGAGGGTCTCAATCTCGGAGAAGGCAGCGGGACCGGCATAGGTGTCGGCGCAGGGGTTGCTGCTGGTGCCCACCTCGTTCCAGTGGAAGGCCCAGTTGCGGTTGGGATCGGCGCCGAAGCAGCCGCTGTAGGGAGTGCGGGTCTTGCGCCACATTCGGTCCGTGGTGTGGGTGTACACGTAGCCATCGGGATTGGCATGGGGCAGGACGTACCAGGTGTAGTTCTCGGCCAGCTGCTTGATGGCCTCCACCTCGGAGGTGATCAACTGATTGATGATGTAGGTGGCAGCTGCGGGTGCGATCCATTCGCGGGCATGGATGCCGGCCTCCAGGAAGATGCCAGGCTTCTCCTTGCGGCTTCTGGTGATTTTCACGCCCAGAATAGAGCGTCCCTGATAGGTCTTGCCGCCCTCGATGAGAGTCACAACGCCGGGATTCTCCTTGGCCAATGTCTGCAGCCAGGCGTAGGTGTCGTCCAGCTCGTAGTACTGCTGCCAGTTGTAGCTTTCGCCGGCGCGTCCCTTGATGGCCACCTTCTCGTCGGTCTCGTCGAGGGTCTTCTGCAGGTCGCTCGACTGCAGCAAGTACTTGATCTCAGCCTTGCCGAGAATCTCCAGTAGATCGGGCACCTTATGGGGGGCCACAACCATCTTGACATCGGCACCCACAATGTGCACTCCGTCCAGGAACAAAATGGAGTCGCTGGAGCTCTCGAGCTGCTTCAGCACAGCCAGCTGGTCGACATTCTCCGCGTTCACCTTGTACAGGCGATAGTTGTCATAGCGGGCGCGCTCGGCGCTAACTCCCGCCAGGGCCACGACGGCCAGGAGGCCAAACAGAAGGGACTTGGTCAGCGACATGATTGTCGTTGTTTGTATGAAGCTCCGAACGGTTACGTTGAATGCTTTTATAGGCCAGGCCAGGCCAGGCCAGGCGAGAGCCGATAAGCGCCCGAACCTAATTTATAGTCCGATAGTGCGAGCTGCGAGCTGGCCGACTGGCTTTGTCCATTTCTGTTAGGGGCTGTAAATATCTCGGGGTAATCTGTGGGTGGCCCTTATCAAAGTCTGGTAAATCATAGCATGACGTCCCCGAGAAACCTCCAAGAAATTGCCATTTCACGAGACACAAGTGTCCGCACACACTAGAGTCCCTCGAGTTCAAGTCTTCTTTTCATTCAAAAGTCTTTACTTTTTATTGCAATTTGTAGCCCTCAATGGAGGCGGCTGCCTTTATCATTTCCACCAGCGAATCCGTTGTCTCCTGTCCCGTGGGTATTATCTGTGACGCTGGCAGCCTGAAACCAGTCCAGAAGCTGTAGCCCGAAGGCCTCAACTCATAGGTGAAGGAATATTTGGTCTTGAGAACACCATAGGCCCAGTCCATGCTGGAACCAGCCGCTGGGTAGATGGCATCGTAGACACTCCCCCCCGTGTAGCGTGTGCCAAATCGCCGCTTCATGCCACCCAAAGCGGCAGAGAAGATGCGCTCCAACTGGCGATGGTTCTCAGGCAGCGCGGAGGTGTGTCCGTATGGATAGAGCAGCAGCTGGGAGAAGGAGTGCAGCGAGACGTACATGAACACGGGCTCTGGCAGGGACATTAGATACTGCGACAGGGACTCCGTCTCGGGCTCCGAGAAGGCCTTGGGTCCGGCATACGACTCCGAGCAGGGCTCATCGCTGGCACCCACCTCGCGCCAGTGGAAGCCCCAGTTCCGATTGGGATCGCTTCCCATGCAGTTTTTCTCCTGCGGACTTCGTGTCTTGCGCCACAATCGATTCTAAACGGGGGAAAGAATGCGTAAGATAAGGACATTTCTTCAAATCTTAAAGCTTACCGTGGAATGAGTGTAGACATAACCATCGGGATTGGCATGGGGCAGTATGTACCAAACGTAGGATCGGGCTAGGCTCTGGATTTCGGGCTGCTGGGAGCTAAGCAATTGGTTCGCAAAGTATGTGGCAGTGGCTGGACTTATCCACTCCCTGGCATGCATTCCTGCCTCCAAAAAAATGGCCTGCCGTTCGACCCCAGCACTGTGGCTGATCCTCAGTCCGAGTAGCTCCCTTCCCTCGTAGCTGCGGCCAGCCACAAAGGTGCTGACAATGCCTTGGTTCTTCTCCACGAGCTGCTGCATCCAGCTATGGGTGTCGTTCAGTTCGTGATACTCCGTCCAGGAGTAGTCATCGCTGCGACGATTTGCATCTGCCACGGGTTCGATATCCAGCGAGAGACTCTCCTGTGCATTCGCATCAAGCAGCTCTGGGGCGAGTTTCAAGCTCTTCAGCAGCTGCAAAAACTCTTCATTGTAGCTGGGAGAAATCAGCACATTAAAGGCACCAAGATGAAGATCATTCAAGAAGGTGATTCTCTCGTTCGTGGCCTCCAATGGTCGCAAACCCTCCAACTGAGCTTCGGTCTTTGGCTCTAACCGATACACACGATGATCCGTAAAGGTTAGACGTTCCCCCAGGCACAGGGCCACAAGAGACACAAGCGACAGTGACACTAGTAGAACTTTCATTCTCGTACTAATCATGGAATGCCCACGGACTAGGGCTTTTATACTCCCTCTTTGGAGTGTGTTTTGCATGCTAATTTCGATTTTTTCGTTGCAGCTATCAGCACCAGGAGACGTTCAACTCCAGCGAAGACTCTACGTTGCAGCGGGTGGCCCTAGATGTGGACGATATGGCGGAACACCTGCTGGTGCTGGCTCAGTTCTATCTGAATCCCCTGGAGACCCCGCGCCTGGACGTGGCGCACTTGCAGCGACTCCACTGGCTGCTCACGAGCTACCACGGCGACACTGGCGGCTACTCGGTGCGTGATATATTGCGTCAATTGTCGCCAGACTGTGGCGACTTGATAATCCGAGGCATTGTCTACGGGTCCAAAGTGAACACCAGCCAAATGTTTGTCAAGCGACCAACCTCATCGAATGTGTGCTGCATATTTAACTATCGCCGTCCCAGCTACTCCCGATTTGCGTGAGTGAATCTGAGTGAGTGAATAGGAAATGAAACACTAATCAAAGCAAATTACAGGCGCATACGAGAGGAGGACAACGCAGAGATGAGAGCCCAGCCCAAGGTGGTGTTTGAGTCCAATTCCATTTTGAACAGCGTTCAGTTTGTGCTGCAGGACACACCAGAGAATGATCGCACCAATACTTTTATGACCAACAATGCATTTCAGGTGAGAGATTCACACTTGTAGGCTCTAAACTTTGGATTTAATTATTCTTTTAGCTAAAAATATTCCCGCAGGATGACTATGCCACCGTTCAGTCCACAACTTTGGGTGAAATACTCGTGGATCACTACACCATTGTGGAGATTCCCATTCAGCCCACGTTCTTTAGCTCCATCGAAGGAGTGCGCAACGTCCCACCCCAAGCACGACGCTGCTACTTTCCCGAAGAGGGCAGAAAACTACTCAACCAGTAGGACTACACACTACAGACTCTGCCTTGGCACATTCCACTAATGAGTAGTTATGTTTCAGAACGTATTACTCCATGGACGAGTGCCTGCTGCTGTGTCGCAGCCAGAGCATGATGAATCACTGCGGCTGTGTCTCACCGCCAATGATTGGTAGCTCCACAAATGTAACTTACTGCAGTCTGCCCGATCTGCCCTGCCTGTCCAAGTGGAAGAGCATTTGGTATGGCTACGATGAGTATCCGTATCTGCAAGAAGGCAAGGACCAGATGGCCCAACGACAATGCAACCACTGCCTGCCCACCTGCAATGGCGTCAGTTTCAGCATCACCAGCAATGTGGCGCCAATGCGTCGCATTTACAATGACACGGGTTACTTGATGGGTCTACTGTGAGTTCGGACTGTATCTTTGTTTCTCTAAGTAAAATGTTTAAACTGCAGCAAAGGCTTGACCAACGAACGTCCCTTGGCAGTCATCAAGTTCTTCTTCAAGTTGCGATTTGCACAGGCCACCAAATCGGAGCTGGTCAGCACTTGGGTGGTGCTGCTGAGTGAGTCATACCATCTCTATGCTCTTTAGGGAATGATTTTCTTATTTGTTAACCCGTGCAGATCGCTTTGGTGGCATCCTCTCCCTTATGTACGGCTTCAGTATAGTCAGCTACATTGAGATATTCTATTATCTCACGGGCAAATGGTTTGTCTACATCTACAGATCATGTAGCAAGAGGACAGTCAGGGCCGGCAACAGTCTCTACTGGGATGAGTTGAGGCCCACACGATTCAGGGCGCCCAATTAGCGCATAACTCTCCTCGGATGTATGCTGAGCATAAATACTCTCTTTATATTGAAATCGCTTTGAAATACGCTCACAAATGATCAACAATCGAATGGACTTATATAAAAAATGTTATAATGCAAACTCTGCTGCTGCTTGCTGCTTACTCACGCACTCGCACGGATGCACGCACTTAATAATCGTCGCCGCGGGATACAATCTCCTTGCAAGTTGGACGCAGCATGATGGTGTGCTCGTACTGGGCCGTATAGCAACCCTTGATGTCGCACAGTGGCGGATATGCCTCCACGATGCCCTTGTCGCACAGATCCTTAAGAGCCATCTGGTATTTGGTGGCACCAGCGCGATCCAGCCAGCGCTTGCAGAAGGCCAGAGTGCCAAAGTTCTTGTTGATTGTGCCCAGAAGCTGTTTGGAAGACTGAAGACGCAAAGGCACGAATGGCAAATCAAAGTTCTTCATGTAATGCGAACAGTCCATGTCATCGTGCACCAGACCACGGCCCGTGGAGCCGAAAGTTTCGATGGCATAGAACTCATCCTCCTCCATGCGAGTGGACTCGCCTCCCTTTACAATGGGAACAGTTTTGCCAGCATGAATGCCTAAAGGAAGAAAAGGATAAAGAATTATGTTTGCGGTAAGTGAGGGTAAGGGGCAAGCTTACGGTACGGGCTAATGGAGTGTCCGTTCAGATTACGTATAGCCTTGATGGGATATGTCTTGCCATCCAGCTCGATTTCGTATGATTCCATAACCTCTTGAATGGCAGCACCGATATCACATAGACGCACGTCAATGCCGGCTTCCTTGATGCCGGTGTTGGTGGCCTCCTTGACGGCTTGCAGCAGCTTGTCGTACTTATTGTTGAAGGTCAGGGTGAAGGCACAGTCGATGATTCGTCCCTTGATGTGGGTGCCAAAATCAATTTTGCACACATCGTCGTACTGCAGAACCGTGGGGTCGCCTGCATTGGGGGTGTAGTGAGCAGCGCAATGGTTGAGGGAGCAGCCAGTGGGGAAGGCCAGACCAGCATCGAGGCCATTCTCGCCGATAAGGCGACGTGCCGTGTTCTCTAGCTCCTCACAGATCTGAATCATGGTCATGCCGGGCTTAATAAAGCGCTGCATGTACTGACGCGTCTGGCGATGGGCCTCGGCTGCCTGACGCAGCTCCTGATAGATGTCGTTGTTCATGCGGTCCAGGGCACGCTTCTCCTCGGAGGTGAAGCGATCCTTGGCCGTGCGATCATCCGGCAAGTCCTTAGGCGTGGGATGCTCCACAATTTCGCCCTCGGGAAACACGCCAGACGGGAAAAGCTTTGAAATTGGTATGGTTGGTGGCTCAGTTTGGCCGCTGCCGGCTTTCTTTCCCTTATTGTTCTTCTTCTTCGCTGCCGGCTGGCCCGAGGCGGCAGCTGCGGATTTTTTCTCGCCATTTGTGGTCTCTGCATCTGCCTCTGGGGCAGCTTCGGCTTCATCGCTGCCACCCTCGGCCTTCTTGGCTGCGGCCTCTGCGGAAAGGGGGTTGAGAAAGTCAGGCGTGTACGGGTGGCGGGGCAATTGCAATTATTGCATTTCGCGCAGAGGTCACTCACCTTGACGCAATTTCTTGTTGTTCGGCTTTGGCTTTTTCTGTTTCTTTGCATCCTCGACGGCTGCACCGTTCTCGGTGACGGCCGCCTCCACGTTCGGTGCTTCGGTTGACGACATTGTTTAACGAAATCTGATGAAATTAACGAAAAACTGATTGATGCCTTGCGATGACGATACAGAAGAAAGAACAAAAACACGAGGTACCACTAACTAGGGTTGTCAAAAACATGTAAATATATCGATATTTTTATCGAAATAAAAATATATTTATATCGTCATATATTCTTTCCAATTTGTTCATACATTTTTATTGGTTCCAATTATATATAATTCCCAAGGAAAACGACGGTTGTATTTATATATAAAGAATTTTATTCAAACTTTTTCTGGAAAACATGGAAAAAGTGTCATTTGTGTAATTAAACTGATTAAATATTTAATTCTCAAAGAGCTTTAATAATATGTTGTACAAAAACAGAAAATGAAACAGGTTTCTGTTTTCTTTATGGGAACTATGTTTTCCACAGCGCGCGGAATTTAATTTCTGCAAAGACATACAAACAAATATATATAAAAATATTAAATATATCGATATTAGTGCAAAGATATATTTAAAAATCATATCACCTATATGATATTTTTTAAATATTTGACAACCCTACCAACTCCAGTGCTGGGTAACAATGGAAGGTTTGTGGTACCAAATATTGCGGTTGCCTTTTCCTCTGGATTTACGACAAATATATGGTATCATTTAAGCTGCAAAAGTAAAGAAATGAACAACTAGGCTTCCCAGATTTCTTCCTGCCTACAATTTCTTCTTTTAACTATTTTCGAGAGTTTCAAATTATTGAGACTATAATGCAGTGCTGCAAAACAATTCGATTTCGCAAAGTGTTGACTTTCCATCCCTGGGGAGTTTTGTTTATATACCCGAGAGTTTTCTTTTTTGTATAAAATCCACTTAAATGGACGAAATCCTGTTCCCCACACAACAAAAGAGCAATTCACTCAGCGATAGCGACGATGTCGATCTCAAGTTCTTCAACACAGCCTCCGGCGAGCGAAAAGACAGCGATACTGCGTCGGACACGGCCAATGAGGCGGACCGTGTTGCCAAAGACGGCGACATGGACACAAAAAACGCAGATGGCGATGGCGACTCGGGCGAGCCGGCCCTTAAGAAACTCAAGACTAAGAAGGAGCTCGAGGAGGAGGAGCGCGAACGCATGCAGTGAGTAGCGAATGAAATTTCAAGATGATAAAATCCCCAAAAATCGCTTCCCTTCTTGCCCAGAGTTTTGGTTTCCAACTTCACGGAGGAGCAGCTGGATCGATATGAGATGTACAGACGCTCGGCGTTTCCCAAGGCGGCCGTCAAGCGGCTCATGCAGACAATAACCGGCTGTTCGGTCTCCCAGAACGTCGTCATAGCCATGTCCGGCATAGCCAAGGTCTTTGTGGGCGAGGTGGTGGAGGAGGCGCTCGACGTGATGGAGGCACAGGGCGAGTCGGGCGCACTGCAGCCCAAGTTCATACGCGAAGCAGTGCGTAGATTGCGCACCAAGGATCGCATGCCCATAGGTCGCTACCAGCAGCCATATTTCAGATTAAATTGATTCCAGATCCCCATTGCCCCGTCTAGTGCGTAAGGTAAAAATAATATTGATATCGGTTACAAAAGCATCTGTATTGAGTGTTGTTTGTGTCTAGTCTAGGTAGTCCTAATGCTAATCCATTCGCCGTGCCTCAGCCTGCATAGTCTGGAGCACAATATGGGGTACGAGGTGCGTGGAAGCGTAGTTAAGGGGCACCGTTGCCAGTGGCGCCGTACCGTCGGATGGGAAATTCAGCTCCTGTGCCATTGGCATGTCCTTGTCGATCACATCCTGGGCAATCAAAGTCTTTGTCTCCTCGTACTCCATACCCGCCTCAGGCTTGGCGCCCATCAGCAGCTTGCCCCGCTGCACGCCCATGTACTGGGTGGCCTTGGCGTTGAGCGGCAGCTGGCCGCAGGTGTCGGCGTGCACCTTGCGATGGGCCTGCAGGTTGGAGATGCACGTGAACCGCTTGCCGCAGTTGTTGCACAGGAAACGCTTGATGCCCGTGTGCACCGTCATGTGGGTGAGCAGGCTCTCCCTGTATGGGTACTCCTTGGGGCAGAGATGGCACTTGTACGGCTTATACTCCGTGTGCCGCGTCTTCAGATGCGACTTGTACTGGGCCTTCACCTTGAACGTCTTGCCGCACTTGTCGCACTGGTAGGGCGTCTCCGACTGATGCAGCAGCAGATGCGTCTTGAGGATGCCCGCCGTAGACAGTCGCTTGCCGCAGACGTTGCACTGGTAGAGCGGCAACCGGCCGCAGTCGGAGCGCACATGATCCGAGAGGGAGGTGCGGCCTGTGAACTTCTTGCCGCACTTGTCGCAGATGAGATTGCGGGGCAGATTGCGCGGCTCCTTCTTCGAGTGAAAGTTCTTCTCGTGGTTCTTGAGACTGTCGTGCCCGGTCATGTACTTGTCGCACTTCTCGCAGTACAGCAGCTCCTTGTGCTGCTGGTGGGCGTGCTCTGTGGCCAGCTCCTTGCTGGCAAAGAACAGATTGCAGTAGCAGGGACACTTGAAGATCAGACTTCCATCCTCTCCATGGACTTTTAGGTGCGTCTCGAGGCGCTTCTCCACCAGATAGATCTTGCTGCAGATGGGGCACTTGAAGACCTCCTCGTCCAGCTTTGCATGCACATCGACGTCCTTGAAGATGTCCTTGATGTCCTGCTCGTTGAGCTTGTGATCGTCCCGCAGATGCTTCTCGTATGGCTTGCGTATGTGATAGATCTTAACGCAGTGCGGACACTTCCAGGTCTTCTCCATCTTGTTGATCATCTTCAGCCGCTCCTTCAGCTCCTTTTTGGTGATCTTGGCCACGCGCTTTGGTGTGCTCGTCGGTGCCTCTTCGGGTGTGGGTGACCTGATGGTGCCTCGCTTGCGATATTTCCGCTTTCCCGTCGAATCCTTGGGCCGTTTTTTCTTCTCCTCGTAGTTGTGCCTCAGCGACAGGACGTCTTCCTCCGTCTCCGCCGTCTCGGTATGTTCCCCCAGCGGCACAGCCGCTATCTCGTCTAGGATCCCCCCTCCCGCATGCTCCACTTTGAGGCTCTCGAAGGGCTTCAGGCCATCGCCCTCGTCCGTGCTGAGCAGCACATCCAGCAGCTTGTCCTTCTCGCTGCTAAAAATATCAGCGCTCTCCGTCTTCACAAACAGACTGGCGTCCTGGTACTCGAAATCCTCATCGAATGCCTCCACCTTGACCATGGCCGGTGCTGGCAGCTGGAACTGTGCGGCATCCGCCTCCTCATCGCTGTTGTTGGGCTCGAAGTCGGGGCATTCGTCGCCCGAGTCGGAGGACTGCTGCTGGTCGCTCATATTCTCCTCCT